AGTGAGTGTTTCTCAAGATTTAAAGAATTCAAGATATTTGTAGAGAAGAAATGTGAGTGCAAGTTGAAAGTATTGCGCACAGACAATAAAGGTGAATACATGTCAAAGCATTTTGATGAATTTTTGAAAAATCAAGTCATTGCAAGACAAACCTCTACTCCTTATATTCCACAATAAAATGAGGTTGCTAAAAGAACAAATCACACCATTATGGAGATGGCAAGGAGTGTGCTTCATGCACAAAAACTTGAGCATGAATATTGAGCAGAAGCTATGGTTAATACAGTGTATACAAGGAATAGATGTCCAACAAGTGCACTCACATAAATGACTCCACAAGAAGCTTGGAGTGGTAAAAAACCTTGTGTTTCATACATTAGGATCTTTAGATGCATTGTTTATGCAAAGAAATCAGATTGCATGAGGTCCAAACTTGATGCAAAAGGAACAAATTGTATATTTATTGGGTATTGTGAAGGTACTAAAGCATATAGGCTCATGTGTTTAGAAACCAAGAAAATCATTAAAAGTCGTGATGTAGAGTTTTTGGAGGACAAGAGTGCTTATGAGCACTTGGAAATGTGTCCAAGTGGAAGTAATGGTGTATTTCTAGACACATCTTTAAATCTAGCAATGAAAGAAAAAGAAGATGATAATGATAGTGAAGATGGTGGAATTTAAAATGAAGATGAAGAATCAAAGAAGGTAGATCATGAGGTACATACAATTGCTAAAAACAGCAATGAAGACAACAAGATGTTGAAGATGATGATGGTGATGAGGAGTACCAACCTTTAAGTGTGAAGAGACAAGTTTTAAGAGAAAAAAAGATTGCAAGAGCTACTGGAATGCATGAAGGTGAATCTTCATCAAGTGAAAGGAAATATCCTTTAAGAGATCGAAAACAACTTGGTACATAGTGGAAGAACCACATCTTTTTCCAAGTAAGTGAAGAACATGTCAATGTTACATTCTTTGCTGATTCATTGAGTTTGTGTTATGCAATGAAGTCCATGGATGCTATGAAGTAAGAGAATGCCATAGAAAAAGATTATAAATCACTCATGGATAATGGAATATGTGAATTGAATCAACTTCTATCAAATCAATCTTTAATTGGTTATAAATGGGTGTTTAGAATCAAAAGAGATGCAATTAACAATGTTGTGAGATACAAGACTAAATTGGTTGCCAAAGGATATTCACATGTTTTTGGAATTGATTTCAATGAAATATTTGCTCCTATGGCCAAATTCACCACCATTAGAACCATTGTGGGAATTGGAGGAGCAATGGACTTAGAGATGCATCAAATGAATGTAAAGACGGCTTTCTTGAATGAAAAGTTGAAAGAAGACATCTATATGGATCAACCTCATGGATTTGTTGAAGATGGCAAACAAAACCTTGTTTGTAAGTTGAAGAAATCCTTGAATAGGCTCAAGCAAACTCCAAGGGCATGGTATCAATTTATTGATACATTCTTTGTGAATGAAGGATTTATGAGGAGTGAAGTTGATCATTCATTTTATGTGATGCAATCAAATGAGTTCATATTGATTGTCATCTTCTATGTTGATGATTTGATCATCTCAACCAATGCTATCAAAATGATGGATTGATTGAAGGTAAAATTTAAAAAAGAATATGAGATAAGTGATTTGGGAGAGCTTCACTATTATTTAGGAGTGAAGTTTGTAAGAAATTGTGCTAAGACGACTATTACAATGAGCCAAAGTAAGTACATTAAAGAGGTGTTAAAACGATTCAACATGGATGAGTATAAGCCTTTTGGAATACCTTTCGAGGCCAATTTGAAGTTGATAAAGCTCACAAAAGAAGAATTTGCTAAAGTTGAAGGACAAATGCAAGGTGTTCCATACAAGGTAGCAATCAGCTCACTAATGTATGCAATGGTTGGTATATGGGTGGATCTTGCATATACAATGAGTATTGTGACTCAACACATGTCAAAGGTTGGACCAATCCATTAGACAACCGTCAAAAGGAACATGAGGTACTTAAAAGGTACTTTGAACTTCATATTATGTCTTAGAAGTGATAACATTACTATTCACAGTTATTGTAATGCGGATTGGGTTAGAAATGCAAATGATAGAAGGTCAACAACGGAATATGTATTCTTTGTTGGAGTGGGAGCAATTTCATGGAATTGCAAAAGACAACCAATAATTGTAAAGTCAATAATGGAGGCGAAGTATATGGCAGCAAGCCATGGTACAATAGAGGCAATATAACTAAAACAACTTTTGGAGGACATTGAAGATGTGCAAATGGAAGCAATTTCAATGAAGTGTAACAACCAAGGATGTCTTGTATTTGCAAAGAATCCAAAGCATTATTCAAGGACTAAGCACATTGATATTCAACATCACTTCATAAGAGAGAAGATTGAAATGGTAGTGATTGATATGAAGTATTGTGCAACAAAAGACATGTTTGACAAAGACATTAGTAAAGAATAGGCACCACATGTTTGACAAAGACATTACTAAAGAATAGGCACCACATGTTAACAAAGGCATTAGGATTGAAAGTCTTTTGACCAATAGCAAAGTAGGAGTATTGAAGTAAAAGTGAAAGTAGAATAAGTTATCTTGTAGAAGATATTACCTTAGATAAGTTACTAATGATCAAAGGATTGATTCTTGGTGTATAAAAAGGACATCCTATGGATATAAGATGAAATTTAGGACCAAAAGTCGAAGTCAAGAAGTTAAAGTATGAACTAGAGAATATTCAAAAATTAGGTAAGAATAATTAGTGTTTGGTATAGGATACCTATGTCGTTAGTAAGATGTCAAAGGATCCTAGGACCAAGGATTATTTGTGTAAAAATCAATGAGTGGAAGTTGTCTTGTAGGGTAACAACCACAACCTATAAATATTGGGTGTTGGAAGTGAGAGACATCTTACTCCATACTCTCTTTGTGTACAACCTTACTGATGTTATGTATTGTGACTTCAAAGTTCTATTTCTTCAATACCTTAAAACTTTAAATTTATACCATCAAACTTCTTAAGTAAAATAATTTTTTATTCTTTAGTACTTAAATGGAATTCTATCATAGGAAAAGTGACATGATTTAGTGCAAATATTGAAGTAGCTCCAATCATCTCTATATCTCCATTTTCTACCATTTGCATTTTTCCTTGTAATAGTAAATTGAATTGATGCATTACAAGCATCAACTCCCTTAATTGTTCTTGCATTTGTACCATTGTACTCTTCATTTCAACAAAATTTCTTATAATAATACTTAAAAGAAAAGAGATATCTAATATTTCCTATGATAAGTAAAAAAAAGAACTTGAGTACAAAAAAAAATACTAAAAATAATACCAATATTGAAGATGGTAATCCACAACTTCTAATATGCTAATGTCTTATTAAGAAAAAAGAGTAATCTACTCTTAATCAAGAAAAGACAAAGCTTTGGTATTATAAATATACTCTTGTCAATCTGTCAACAATAAGAACTTAATAAAAATAAATAAACAAGTGAGACTTTTTCTAAGAAGTATAATAAAATAAAAACAAAGAAATATGTATATTAAAGAGAAATTAGAATGGCTATTGCTAAAAGACAAAAAAACTAAAAACTCTTAAAACTAGACTAAAAGCAAGATAGAAATTGATAAAAGTGAAGAAAGTTTCATCCTTGCCTCTACATATACTATCTACTTAAGAGCTATGTAGTGATATTCTATAGGACCTCCAAAATGTGTTGACTTTATACAACACATATCTTAACTTGCAAAGCAAATTTTCTATATGGATGCTACATAATTAGCTTGTTCTACAAGCTACTAATATATGTGGCATGTGGCTAATTTGTTGATCAAGTTTCTAACCTACCAATCAACTACAAACACATATAAAGTAAAAGCAGCATCTATAAAGATTCTAAGAAGCTTTTCTAGAAGATATTATAAAATTAATCTACTTTTATCTACTTTTATCTATTCATATTATGTAGATAAGAATTACAATAAATATATGTCTGTAATACTTACTAGCTCATGCAAGTCCATTTGAAAAAAACATGCATCTATATACTTCCATTATGGAAGCCACAATATCATCATATGCCTTTTATAATTCAAGATTCAATTGTGAAATATATTATTCTAAATTTGCTTCTAATTGTTGAATGTCTTATATTCTTTTTTGAGCAATAATGTCATTTCCATTAACTGTTGCATTCTAATTATTTCTTGATAATAGTATTGAAATAAAATATATAAGCATTTTGTCAGAGTCTTGTAAAATCTAATCGAGTAAGAAAAGTCCAAAATCCAAAATTTATTCTTCTATTGGATTGCTAATTCCATGTTCTCTTTGCAACCTTTTCCATAAATTTAATAGATTTAGTAGATTTTTGTATTGTAGCAAAACAATAAACAATGCCCTCAATTGAAATCCAATTTATATTCCTAATACCTCCTCCAAACATTGTTGTGACTCTCTATCATCTTCAAGCAATCCTAAAGCTACATATATACTTTTAGATGTTGGATGGAAAATTCCATGAATAGTCTTTTAAGTGCTCAAATGACTATGGACTTCTAATATAAATTAACAAAAGTTTCAAACACTATCTTTCTCTCATTGCTAGATTTGTAAAAAATAATCTTCTAATAGCAAATCTACATTTCTTTGACATCCACATCTTCCTTTCTTTATGCCAAACAAAATATTATAAGAACTATTGGTGTGTATATTATCTTTCCACTATCATTGCTAGACATAACTCAAAAAATGAAGTTAATATTATCTTTTGTCTTTCAACATATTCTAAAATAGAAGATGTCTTGTCATTTAGATCATATACCACATGCATTCTTAGAAGATGAACAACCAAATAAACAATATTCGGCATTTCTTCATGGATCCACATGCCAAAAAATCTTTAAACCATTTTGAATCAGTAAACAAGTATCCAAATATGTATACAAATTGCAATTGATGTTTCATATCTTAGTACTTCATCCACATCAAAATCTACATTTATTAAATTTAACAAAATTGAACTGTTCATTTTCAAAATGTACAACTTGCAAAGACTGTTCAGACTAATGGTTTGAAAAAAAATCAAGTTTCACATTCTGAAATTCATAAAACCATCATTTGCCTCCCAAAAATTGTTCACCCTTGTGCAGTGTAGTCTCCTTTAAATAGCTAATGCAACACAAGAGTAGGACTCTTAGATGCTGGAGAATGAACTCTAGTTTCCTTTCTTGTGCTGGTAAACCAGTTTCTGAAGGCAAGGAATTTATCAGCCTTGATAGCGTCTCGGATTGCCTTGAAAAATTCCAAATAGTGGTATGTGTTATGTCTGCATAAAACAACGAATTCCAGGTAGAACTTGTCAGATAGCCTCTAACTTGTTGAGTTACAATTAGCTTTATGAAGACTAGTGCTAATCCAGAACATGATAACTACGATAATTAAAAATTTCTAACTAGTAAAGTCGGCAGTGGACATGCTATGTAAGATGGTTCTCTAGCTGAACTGGCTGGTTGTATTACACAAAGCAATGGACACTAAATGCCAAAAATCACAAGAGAGAAATATGTTCTCGATGAAAGAAACAACCTATCTGGGTCTACTTGTCAGGAAAGAAAAATTATGAAGAAAAGGACCACAGAGCAGGCACTCACATCTCCAACAAGGTTTGACTCAGCATCTCATGGGTGTTGATTAGATGGTGGATGTAGGCTCGGGTGTGCCTTTGACAGGTGTAGCATTTGCAGCCAACCACGAGTGGGGATTTGTCAAGCCTGTCATCAGGGTGAGAAATTCATATCAGAAAACTTTCATGACTGTTGCTAAATTACGTGAGCAAGTAAATCACTCAGTGCAACATATGAAATGTTTCAATTCTGAACGATTGTCATAATTGAGGGACATTGTACTTCACATTCTGGTTTCTCAATACTTTCTTCTCATAAGTACCCAAAAAGAGGGTGAAGGTCAAGTACCTGTAGGCAACAGAACGAAGGTTCATTTTCGCCGAATCTGAACCAATATAGGCCAGTTCTGAAGCACTAGGTTGAGTATCAAGGTTTCCGGGAGAGTTCTCCATATTAAGGGGGAAAGTCATGGCATAGCCCCCCTTCGTTAACATGAATGGGTATCTAAGGCCGGTCAAGATTAAGACAGGAGGGAATTTCAAGAACAATAAACAGCATGAAGCCATAAAATAAGCGCATTGGAAAGCTGATCAGCGATGCGAGACATATGACTACAAATTAAGAAACACTACTTAAAATGAAAACAAGGTGTGAACCAATGAGAAATTTATGAAGGATACATGCTGTCAAATACATCAACACCTGCCTCAACAGCTTGTAATACCTCCTCTGCAGACGTCACAATGTGATCAACAGGCATGTCTAAAAAGACTTCAGCCTTCGACACAATAAGCAACAATTTCGTGACACCATCAATCAAATTGATCTGATGAACCGATTGTCATGTTTTTAGGTAAAGGTGGGACACTAACCTGGCAAACCAAGCCCACTTGTATGACGAAGTTTCTCCTTAGGTAATTTGGCCTGTAAAACAATGATAAGGGAAGTAATTCAACATGAATTCCAACAAACACAGACGACTTCAAGTAGTCATTGAAAGCTCAGTATGACATGAAGCGACTAGTTTGAAATAACATACAATCACTGCATCCATTTGCAGAGCACGCTGTGAAGCATCTTCACCCAATCCAAACCCACCTAAAGAAAATCCTGGACAAGAACAGGAAACGACCACATTTCATTGCATTGTACCAGCACGGTTCCAATTTAGTAGACTGGGATGAGGGCAACGGCATCTAAGCATGAGAGGAGACGTCGCTGGAAGTTTCTATGAGACGCAATAAATTGATCAGAATCTACCTATTTATAAATAATCGAATTTTGACCTCTTCAAAACATACAAACACCACGTTCTTCTTAACTGTCATGATTGCTAATGCGTAAAAGAAGCAAGTGTAATAAGTTCAATCAGTTGAATCAACGCTACACTGATTCAAATTATCCAAAAATCCAAACTTAGCCACAGCTATTTGCCTAAGGCTGAACCATACCCACTACATTACGAGTAGCTGTTTGTTCCGCAGACCGGATCCTTTCATCGAGACTGGCCGATCCGACCACAACACCTAGGCACCTATTACCACGCTCTGCCTGGATCCACAATTTATAAGTTAGAACAAAAAAACTCCAACAACAACAGCAAGGGAACAATTCTCGATGCTTTCCTCTTCACACAAACTTGAATCTGAAAGAGAAATCAGTAAGAAACAAATAAATAACGTTCCAAGTCTAAATAAATCCAGCACTCATTTGCGGATGTGTTACTGGCATGCAACTCAAGGATAATAAATTATGCAACGTAAACAAAGTGTGTAAGAATAATTCTTTCAAGAAGGATGTGAAGGGAGTAACGACATACGGGTTGCAATGAGAGGCAGTGGTCCAGCCATTGGAGGGTGCGGTCTACCGACAGGCGATTACGCTTCTCTGCTGCCCAGGTTGGCACCTCGTCGGGCAAGCTGACCCACAAGTCAGGTTTGCAAGCGTTCACGATCTCCATATATTTTGCAGGACCCACCTGACTAACAACTTATTAGCAAACGTGGTAATAGAATCAAAATGTAAGAAACGGAGACAAACGGTAGGAGACAGAGATAAAAGCTTTCATAACCCTACATATACTAGTTAGGAGCAGATAGCAGACAATATAGAAGATGAAATTTATTCAAGCATAAGTCGTAAAGAAATTAGTGAATTCAGTCTACAAGCTTCAACGTATGCCATAGTAACTTCAACCCAAACAAGCTGTTCTGAACGTCCAACAATTTCAAAGCTCAGATCTTGAGTCAAAGTGCAAACTTCAGTTTGCATTTACGAATTCAGTTTCTAATGTTCAAAATCTTCCATGAATCCACACTAATTTAATTAGTATGCAATCAACCCGTGAGGGCAGGGTACATACTACGCGCCGGCCAGAAGTAGTCTCAAAAGCAGCGCCCAACTTGGAAGATGCCTCCCCGTTTGATTCATCCATGAGACTGTCTCTTGCCAAAGCAACCATCCCAAACCCAGTCATGCTGACAAATTTGTGCAACCCTCCGGCCGTCTCTACAATGCTCGCAGATGGGCTATCCAAGCTGTTATTTCACCAACATTTTCAACACGTGAATACCTTGGCTTACAAGGAACCAGTTTTCATACCTTTTAACCCCCAAATTCGACATAATACAATCATTTCATTGATCCATCACCAACAGCTTTTCCTTGAATTCCAGAAAAAGAACTGGCATCCTGAGGATGCACTGTGAAACACAAACGTTAATTTGAATGCCACCAAGCACATTGTGACCTACCATAACTTTTGATTGAATATTGATGTCAAGCATTCAAATCAGTGAATCGAATGCACAACAAAACTCACGCCAGCTATGTTCCAAAACCCTAAACCCTAAACCCTGGACTAGAGCTTTCAAACAATACAATCTAGAGTGAAGTAAATTGGAAGTCGCTAGTAGCGGCACATTCTTCTTAATTGAAAGGAAGTGAAAGAGTTAAATACCACCATATTGGTTGACAAGCAACAATCTGTGTGACCATCAACAGCAATCTATTCGAATCCACTTTCGTCTGAAAATTAATCACTTTCACATTCCTAGCATCCAGACTCCAGGGTTTCAAAGTGGTACTTACAAGTGAAGAGGACTAACTTGGCAAGCACGCGCATCAGGATGCAAATTTTGAAGCAGGTCCGGCGGAATAAAAGCTGGCAATCCCTTGCGAGTCAGAAGCAACAAAGTCGGTGTCTCCATTTGCACACCCGCAGCTAGTTGCATAGACCCAAGCCTCGCCCCCGCACTCCAAGTCCGCACCACAAACTCCATCTCTTCCAAGTCCTAAGCCTCCACACACTCTAATCTCTCTGCTTCACTATCAACGCGTTCGCTAAACCTGAAGATTGTTCAATGGAGTGAATCAAATGAAAATCTCGGGATGAGCACACGAACACAAACTGATTCTCGCAAGTATGCTAAACCACCAACGATCGTGCAAAATACCACAAAACAGTTGCTCATAACTGTAGTACTAGTGGGTTCTACTGGGGGACGAAAGTTACATTCACACTTAGTTCACAAACCCTACATCACCGAATGAACTCATTTCACCAAACGGTCAACTTTTTCCTATGAATTCCTTATTTTCACCTTATTTATCCACTCTCTTAATGAAAGGCCCATTTACCACACGCATCAACCGACTCATTGTCAGTATGCTTCAAGCAAATTTACGGTAACAACCGTGAGTTTTAGGGGGATATGCTGCGATTTCGTCAGCTTATGAAACACCGGGATGGTGTCATGTGTACAAGAGTTAAGTGCCCCTAGCGATTACTGTACAGTGCGAGCATCTTCTAGACCCAAGATTCAAGCTCCACGCTGCACATGCGGTGCAAGATTCGTCTCTCATTGTTACAAAAGTTATAAAAAAAAAAAAAAAAAAAAAAAACACCTTCTTCGGATGCAACTTACCACTGGCGAGCTGGTACCTAATCTGACGAAAAAGATGCGATTGTGTGACAGAGGTCGATTGAAGAGATTGAAAACGTATTAGAAATCATCACTCTGGCACCAAATTCTGCTCGCAACGGGTCGTTTCATTCACAATCCCTGACTCGCTTTCCTCGTTTTCCTCGTTTTACTTTCGTGAAACTCACCCACACATACACACCTTTCCACATGCTGCTTGAATTTCCTTGAATTTGTGTGAAATACCCACTTCAAATATGTGTCGGTATGAAGTCGGTACCGACTTCATAATAAGGTTTTGCAGATTGGTAGTGAGAGCTTGACAATTTGGCTTCCAGTTGGTATATTTGAGGTTGGTATGAATTTAATATTGTTATTATTAATATTGTATGATGTATGTTGTAGATGTTAGCATAGAAATAATAGTTGTTGAATGCTTTTGGGAAAAAATATAAAATAAAAATAAAAATAAAAATAAATAATAATTGTGTTGGTATCATTGTCACACATACTTCTCTTCGCTCATAGTAATTACTATCAAGTAATTTAAACTATACTATGAAATATTTTGAATGTTTAAACAGTTACTAGTAGATCACACCAAAGCTCAACGGTTAATTTAATTTGTGTTCTTTTACTGATTGATTGTACTTATTTATGTTCATGAAGTTCGTACTTAATTATCACGTGAATTGATAATCGAATGAAACTGTAAATTTTTAGCATATGTGTATATATAAACACGTGTTAATAGAAATAAAGCTAACATAATAATATAATAAAACATGATAGGTCGAATTAAATAAGCAATTAAAAAATTTAACCTTTAGAGATACTAAAATGAATGGAAGTTCTCTTGCAAGAATTGTTGAATTAATGGTACAAAGTGAACCATAAGAAATACGATTTTGAAACACCTCACCTCACACATACAAAGACTACAACACTCGTCCCAGGTGAGAAGAAGAAGCAAGAGGATGAACAGACTCGGATCTCACACCTCAGTCAATGGATGAACCGGGTCATTCATTCATCCACCCTTCCAAGGGGGACGAAACCGATGCCCGAGGTGCGTCGGCTGACTTAGAGAAGAGTGTTGGCTACTTGTAAGAAACGTAAAGAAAAGAAAGAAAAGAAAAGAGAAGGACAAAGAGAAATGGTAACTTACTACTTACTACTCCGACACATCTCTGCCACCTCGAAAGCGTCGGCGCATCAATACAGCAACAGCAGCAGCAGCTCTTATATAATATTGTATCATCATCTCTGTTGCTGCTGCAGCTTTTCTCTTCTTCTTCTTCTACTTCTTCTTCTCGGTGATGGTGTTCTCGACTCTACCCAGCTTCTTCTTCTTCTTCTTCTTCTTCTTCTGTTGGTTTCATGATCTACATTGATGCCTGTCTTGTACCTGACGGGTTTTCCAAGGAGGGAGCTGATTTATGAGCTATAGCTAGCTAGCTCTACGTTTGGTTTGGGTTTATTGTGCCTTTGTTTTTGTTTTTGTGAGAGTGGAATTGGAGAGCCGAGATACCCATTTCAAGCAGAGATTTTCGAGTAGCAACTGGGTGGCCTGGCTTCGCTGATTTCAAAAAAGAAAAGGAAAGGTAGAGCACTGATGGCCTCGGAATTGCCTCCCCAGCTGGTGAACATAGAGAAAGAAGTGTGCGATGCCTTTAAGCTCCTCTCGTGAGTGTTACATATTCCCCTCTTGATTGGGTTACGAGAGAAGTGACCTAAGTGATTCCGTGCCGTTGGTTCATATCTGGTCGCTGTATATAACATTCTTGTGAGCTTTATTTCTGGATGCTGGCTATCACAATGTAGAAATGTTGGCGTCGATGAAAGGCTGCAGAGTAGGATTGGTGTTTTTCCAGCGAGAAAGTTTTTGGTGTCTTTTAGGAAAATGCAGTGAAAACAAAGATAAGTTCGAAAGGTTGACTAGGCTGGGTCTTGTCCATGGCATCACTCTGCAACTAAATTGACGATAGAGGGGGGTAATAATACAAGCTTCTTTACTTTAGACTGAATTTGCATGATGCAATGAGGTCTTTTGTCTTTGCCATTCTTAGTCTTGAAGAACCCGCTCTACACGACTAATAATTGTATGATGACAGGACTGGTTTTCAACGATTAGACAAGATCAAAGATGCAGGAAGGCAGACCAAGCAGCTTGAGGAGCTGACTGCTAAGATGCGTGAGGCCAAGAGGTAATCTAAACCCTAAACCAGCCTTCTTATGAGCTCCTTAATGCTCCTTATTTCATGTGATTAGTGCATGCCAACCATCAATCGTCTCACTTGGTTCTACTCTATTGTGCTGAAACGGCCTCTGCTGAAATTTTCCCAGGTTGATTAAGGAGTTTGATAGAGAAATCAACGAGGGGAGTGACAGGGTACTTCCTGAGACAGCCAAGCTACTGAACGAGAAGAAGCAATCGCTCGTAAGCATTCTCTAGAGCTTGGTTCATTCGTCCTTTTGTTACATTTGAGAGCCAGGTACTGTTGATTGAGAGCTCGATACGCATCAGATTGATCTTCGAACTCGTAAATTTTCATTCGCAGATCAAGGAACTCAATTCTTACGTTGCTCTGAGAAAGACTTACACAAGCTCGATAGGGAGCAGGCAAGAGCTTCTTGATGGAGGTTTGCATGCTGGAGCAGCGCGTGGCGCGCATGTCCGCGTGGCCTCAAGTTAGTATTCCCGCTTGGATGTATTATGGTCTTGAATTATGTATAATTACGAGTTGTAAGGAATAGTTTGTTGCCGTTTTCTCAACGGATACGTTCTCATCCACCCACAGCTATGTCGAACCAAGAGCTCGTTGAAGCTGGAAGGAAGCAGATGGACGAAACAGATCAAACGATTGAAAGGTCAAAACAGGTTAATACAGTCTCTGCAATCCTCGTCATCTAGTTAAACAAGGTTCAATGCTCTCATGTGAGGAATAAGGTTCTGATTTGATGATGCAGGTTGTGGAGGACACCATCAACATTGGCGTACAATCTGCCACGACTTTGAAAGGACAAGTATGCTGGGCTACATTATGCTACTCTTGTTCATTCAATTTCAAACAGTGTACTTTATTTTAGACCGACTTGTGAATTCTTTGATGAAAGTAGCGATTGTTTGCAAGTTTCTGATTGGAGTTTATTGAGATCTACATTCGGTATTTGGGTAGAGTGCTCTCATTATCGATTTAAGGTTAGAGATTCTTGTGCTCAATATGATCTTGCAAACTTTCCAGACGGAGCAACTCGGCAGGATAAACAATGAGATGGATACACTCCAATTCTCTCTAAAGAAAGCTTCAGGTCTAGTCAAAGAAATTGGTCGACAGGTTTGGCAAAACATTCAAACCCTTCCATTGCCTTCTCTTACAGATTCATGTATCGCCTGATATATGTCAACTGCAATCGCAATTCAAAACCAGAATTTGAATAATCTGAGAAATTTAGAAGCACTCAAATAATTTTGACAAGAAAGCTTTTGCATTGCAGATGGCAACAGACCGATGTATTATGTTCTTTCTGTTCCTCGTTGTTGCGGGTATAATCGCAGTCGTTGTTGTTAAGGTAATGCTACCTCTTTATCTCTGCAATAGTAATTTACACTCACTGCAATTCGATTATTCACACCAGCATCTGGTGTAACTTTGCTACTATTTTTTAATGCTGTAGGACTTTGCACTAACGATACTGTATGCATTTACTTCTTAGTCTTCATGTTGATCATGATGGTATCCTAAGATGTAAACGATTTCAGGTTGTTAATTCCAGCAACAAACATGGCCAAGCTCCAGAATTACCACCTCCAGCTGCCAGGCGGCGGTTACTGTTAACTAGGATTTGAATTGTCCTTCAACTTTGAACCGGAGCTTCCTAAATGCGTCCACTTGCAGTGAGTCCCCAGCAGACCCACAACTTTCCTCTAAGGAACGTTCTTCTCCTCCTGGCCACTATACGGCACTAAGCTAAAAGTAAATACGCCAAGCTATCTTTACCTCTGGTTTCAGTTTTACTCCGTGAAGTGCCATCCTAGCAACAAAAAATAGAGCTTGCTATTGGTGCTGTAAAATACCTAACCTAATTGGCAATACTCTTGTATAAATTTAATTGAAAAAATGTTTACCCTTTTGACACATGATCACAGAAAAAAAAAAAAAAAAAAAAAAAAAAAAATCAGATGGCAAAGTACCTCTCTCAAAGTCTCAACCAGCGTAGCTATCAATTTGAGGTATGATTGAGGTTGTCTTGTTGTTGATGTTACAATATAAGTTGCCTCAACTATGAGGTCCCTCACTGTTCACGGTAAATCTGTCATATACAGGGACGAAATAACCCGATTTTGGCTTTCAGTACCTTCTGAATTGAAACATTTGTTGAATTGATGGATTTGTAGAACTTCTGGCTTTACCAAAGAACCATCCTACTGAAACTTGCTTATTTTTATTTGTTTCCCGACTTGCTGTAGGAAAGGATCTTGGCACACATGCAAATGAAGAGCCAAAACTTACACTGCATTGACAGCTTTCAATGACTTTGGCATTCACCCAACCCAAGCATCGAGTTTTTGTTTGAGATAATTTTAGTGGTCTGCTATTGCTCATACAACTAAAACCAAATTTAATGATGTGACTCCTTACCATTAAACGGCTCACAAATCATGCTTCGATGAATTTTTTTTTTCACCTTGGCGCATCACGTTTGAGCATTTCATTTAAGCAAGGTTCTCATGCTTATGAATGATTTGTATTCTTCATTAGCTATAAAAGAAAATAAAAAATTAGCTCAAGAGATGTAATTGTCTACAAATATCGTTTTCTTTAGTTTGCAGATCAAAATCTAACTAAAACGACATATTCAATGAATGAAATTACAAATAAAATAATTTACAGTAACTTCTTTTACTTGATCAAATATGATGTCTTTGTAATAGAGGATACAGAACTACGTAAAGTGTTAAATCAACCATTAAAATGATAATTAGTAATTTAATCTTCTTTTAATAACTTCATGGGATTGTTTGTTTGTTTTTGTTTTTGTTTTTTTATATATATTTAAGAAAATAAAAGGTGCAAAAAGTAATTTGTAGCTTATTGTTCCATACATAAAATAAAAAATACAACAATATTTCATTGACAATTTTGGTTTGAATAAAGAATATAAACATTTATCACTACTTTCAAAATACATAAATAACATTATTTTAAAATGCTATTGTCCCCCATAAGTACTTTTTTTTGCTAGAATAGATTTACAAGTGTCAAATAAATACATGCATGATATCATGTGCTTTACAACATCCAAATTTACAGCCTGCTTTGACATAGTGGCTATGGAGTTTTTTTTCACTTGCTTTAAATGCATAATCAAAGTTTGCATGTAAAACTCATTTTTTACATTGTATGTTTATTTATTTATTTACTTACTTAATCTCCTGATTTCGAAAAAAACTTAATTAATATGTTTTAGTAATTTGCACATAAAAAAAGTTTTTACATAATGATATTAATTGGAAGTGCTTCTCTTGCTTTAAAATTTAAAAAATTAAAATTGTTATAGAGTTTAGTATTCATAAGTTTGGTCATACCATATTTCCATCTTCTTTTTTTTATAATTAAATGTGAATTCCTCAATGAAATAGAAATTCCCATAGCTTTATGGTCACATTGAAAAAGCTCCAACCACAGACCATCATCATCAACATACATCTCTCCACTTCCTACTGAGTATGCTTACATATTAATATCATATCCTTATTAGAGAACAAACAAACAAACAAACAAACATCACTGTGGGTGGTTTCTAAATCCCAACCCAAACCCCCTCAAACCCCACAAAAGAAGAAGAAGAAGAAGAAGAAGAAAGGCCCTCCCTCTCTCCCTCCTTCTCACCACCATTAGGGGAGGGGGACGACGGAGGACGGACGGACGGACGGACGAGCTGACGGACGGGGGCGTTGCTTGAGGATGAATGAATTTATGATAGGATTAATGGATGAATGAATGTATCCATTCCCAATGCCCCCTACGCGGAGTTCAAAAACAGGCCCGCCTCGGTCTGGTACCCGCGCCTGCAGCCCAGAGAGAGATAGAGGCAGAGACAACGAGTGCTGCTGTCCACCACCAGCAGGAGCAACTGCTGCAGCAACAGCAGGAGCCTGATGATGTGAGACGACGATGAAGAAGATCGTGATCATCGTCGTCGTCCCTGATTGAGAAATGACGATCGCAAGGGAGGGCTTCTTCTTCGTCTTCGTCGACTTCGTCTCATGAGCTGGGGCCAGCTCACACTGTTTGTTGCTGCTGCTGCAGGGAGTGAGGGAGTGAGTGACTGAGTGACAGACAGACAGACAGACAGCTTCCTGCCTTCCTTCCTTCCTTCCTTCCTTCCTCCTCCTTGTTGTGGCGAAGCTTCAGACCCCACTTTCTCTTTCAGCTTCCATGGTGCTGTGAGGGTTTCCAGCACGGGTTTGTAATGACAATGCGAGGAGTCGTTTGAAGGACGGAGGTTTAGTGTAAGACCCGTTTGCTGGGTGATGCGATTGGGCAGCGTCTGGGGTCGAGCTGTTAGACAGCTAGCTGTTCCTGGGTCCGGGTTGGAAGCGGATCGGTTCTTCGGAGGCGTGGTGTTTGGATGCGAGAAAGAGGCATTCATGTTTGCTGACATTGGGTGCGTGGGTGTTGGGTGCGCGCAATGTGCTTGGTTCTTGCTGGAGTAGGAGCTTTTGATTGTGCTGGCGGTGGGTTTTTTTTCGTGGACTTCGCATTGGTTTTCGAATTGCTTACTGTAGGGAGGTGGCGAGTTTGGAGAACCTGTGGATTGTAGGTGAGTTATTAGGTCGCTTTTTACAATTCTGCCGTCTCCGCTGGCCAGCATTGAGGATTTGCGTTATGACAGTGTTTTTTGTTTCCTGCTTTTTGGCGGCTGTTGTACGCTATCTTCGTTGGCTCTAACTTCAGGCACGCTCTCTAGCTCCCAATGTGGCTTCCTCTGGTGGTTTAAGGGTTGAATGCATTGATGCCTGTGAGGACTTCTTCAAATTGGAACCACAAATTAATAAATGGCAACCGTCTTGCAGCGAGTGCACTGTCAGTTCCCGATACGTTCAGTGCTTGGAATCTAGTGTTTGCTACATGAAGAATGAAACGATTACAATAGTGCGAGAGAGAGAGAGCGAGAATGATCGTACACACTCACGCCATCGCACATATTATTGCCTTGCTGAAATCTTTTTGCCTTCCTTTCACAGGTCGGTAGAGAGGCGCGTCCATCAAGCTGGAATGCATGACGGAAGGGAGTTCTAAGCTCGATATACTACCGTCATTATCTTTGTTATATGCTCAACTGTAGTCGAGTAATTCCAAAGCCCCTCGGAGCAACTTTGAGCTCCTAGGACTGGTCAAATCAACCACAGATCACATTGCTGTTCAACCCCTGAGTACCCTCCATTGCGCATGACGATCACTTTCAGCCTCATGATGAACTATGGCATTCATCGCCCCTTACTCGTCCTCCTATTCGCAGCCATGTTGGTTAATGCAGCTCCTGCCACCTCTGATAATTCCCTGCTTTCGACAGTTTACCGACCATTCAGGCCATGGTCAGGCAGTGAGTCGAGAGATTCTAAGGCTCTAGTCCAACAGCTCCAGGTCAACATGCAGTACCACATGGGACCAGTGCTCACATCGGACATCCACGTCTACATCATCTGGTATGGGGCGTGGAAAACCTCCCAGAAGAGTATCATTCGCGACTTTCTGAGCTCCATCTCGGCTCCCGCTTCCCTCCCCGGCCCCTCGGTGCAGCAATGGTGGTCAACTGTCCAAAAGTACACGGATCAAACGGGCGCTAACATCAGCTCGTCGATCACTGTGGTCGGTGAACATGAAGACAACGGTTACTCTCACGGGAGAGAGCTTTCCCGTTTGAGCGTGCAAGAGGTTATTCGCAGCGCATTGGCGGAGAATCTCGGCACTCTCCCAGTAAACACTAAGGGGGGTCTTTACATGGTCCTCACTGCCGAGGATGTAATGATGCAGGACTACTGCCGAGCAGTATGTGGGTTCCACTACTTCACGTTCCCATCGAAAGTGGGTTACACTCTGCCCTACACCTGGATTGGAAATTCGGGGAAATCATGCCCGGAGACATGTGCTTATCCATTTGCAGTGCCCCAGTTCATGGCGGCCTCCATGTCCCCACTCAAAAGCCCAAACAATGATGTTGGTGTCGATGGCATGGTGAGCGTCATTGGTCACGAGCTGGCCGAAATATCTAGCAACCCGCTTATAAACGCCTGGTACGCGGGAGAGAATCCGTCAGCCCCCAGAGAAATTGCCGATCTCTGCGAGGGTATGTATGGGCCGGGTGCAGCAGGGGGCTACCCGGGCACTGTGGCTGTTTCCCAATTCGGCGCCAGCTACAACATGCATGGGGTGCGGGGGCGGAAGTTTTTGGTGCAGTGGTTGTGGAACGCAGACACGAATTCCTGTGCAGGGCCTCTCTGAATCGCCCAACGTCATTGACCACTCATATGGCGATCGAATCTCTGTCTAAAGGATCAATCTCTGAACGTGTCGAATGTTGGCAAGCTGCTTTCACTATTCAGCTGCTGAGAACCAAGTGCCGAGGAATAAATTCGTTATCTCAGCGGGTTATCTTTGCGAGGGTCGAGCCTTAGCTGGATTGGAACTTATGTACTTTTCGACCCACTGACTGCACCGACTCTAACCGAAATCCCAATCTTCCCAAGTTGCTTGAATTTCCCGAGGTCCTGACTTCAGTTTCGACTGTCCCGGCTTCACGCTGTAGTCAGCCACCATGACTTTCTCTGACTCTGGAACCTGCCGATATGTGAGGTTTCTTCATAGCAACCAGTTGGGAAATTGCTCGAGTGCGCAGATTCTCACATCTGTAACATGACAGTCTGGTACTCTCTCGTAATCACGATCCGACGTGGCATGTTTTCATGCTTGATCAGCACATGAGCTGTCTCCGGTTGCGTTCTAAACTTAGCTACACTACAGAATTCTATCGAAGCAAGTCATCCCAAGTGGGGTTGTGCACCTATAGCAACAATAGCATTGGAAAAGTAAGATTTTGGCGCCCAATTGTGAAATTTCTCATTGCAATATTGTGCTTTTTCCTTCCATGTGGTTTGTATCGTCTTTCTCCTCTTTTAAGCAGCATTCATTTGAAGATAAAATGCATCCGTGATCTGCTCTGTTTTGACATGAGTTGTTACGGCATTAGCATTGCGGAACTTGAATGGCTGCTGTAGTTTTGTTTTCCAAGTATGTTGGTTGACATTAGAACAAACATACTGTGGTTCTTGAATTATGCACATAATTTTGTATCACAGATCTGTGTGTAGCGATGTAGTCTTCATAACGTTTATTTCAGAATCGTCATAAATTACTTACTAACATATTAATTTGCATTAACTTCAACTTGGTCAAAGTTTGGTTTACGTAATGTGCATGTTTTGGTAATAATTATCTTGTTTTGTTTTTTTTGAAAACAAAAGAGTGCAAATAGTGGAGGGTGTAACATGTTATATTCATAGTACATAGCACCACCATTTTTTATTAATAAGGTACTATATTTGTAACTGGTTCACAAAGAGAAAAAATAAATAAAATTAAAGTGATTGTATTAAATTCTTTTAATCTTTTAGAGAAGATAAAAGTATCTTACAATTGAAATAGATGATAACTTTCTTGATTACTACACCCTTCCAATAAGGGCAATTTTTTTCCCTTTTTTAATACAGAATATTTGTCAAAAACTCATCAAAAATTGTTTCTTATATTAAGCAAATTATACCAAGATAACAAGAAAATATTTTTTTAACTCATAATTATAAAACGGAAATTTTAAGTTGGCAATGATTAGTTATCAAGCTTTAAATATAAAATTGCATGTCTTTTTTAACTCTATTTATATTCATATTTTCCATTCACAATTAATTGTGTCCTATATTAAGTCTTATATGGGATAAGTAGAACAAATTGTGTCTTATGTAATATAATGTAGGATGAAGTTTCCAATATCCAATATTAAAAGGATTTGGTAATTATCATTTTTTTTTCATGTATTCTTTTAAATATAATAAGATGTAAAATTTTAATAACTATTTTTATAATACTGTAATAAAATTTAATGTATATTTCATCTTTTGGTTATTTATTTTTTAAAGAAGCTGCTTGTAATAAAACTGTAACATGTTTCAACACAATTTTAAAAATTATGTGATGGTAATAATATCATAGGGTTGAACATAAAAGACTTAAAATGTTTCTTAGTATGTTGAATTTATATGTAAAATTTTTAAAAAAACCACTACATTCAAATTGTTTGGTTTAAATATCAATTAAAATTATATCAAATATGATGAAATAAAGTGTAATATATACTTATAATATTATTTTTAAAATTATATTAAAATTTTAAATATTATTATTTAAAAAATAAAAAAATAATAAATTTAAGAATAATTCTATATCAATAGTAAGGTTATTTACATCGAATTCTTCAAAATATAATTAAAAAGTAAAGTTTAAAATATTAAGTAAAAACAGTTAGCAATAAAAGTTTAAATGCAATGAATCAAGGATATTGCTAATGCCACCACAACTTACCATCTATTGATGTTTACTATAGTCACAACCTAATTCAATGAAATTACAAGAAAAGTTGGAATGTTTTATTACAAATGCATGTCTTATAGCTAATCAAGACTTTTGCACATAGGTAATTAAAACATAACAACTTACAAATGTATAAGTTGTTGTTGTATTGTAATACGACTATTTGGTAAAATATATATATATATATATATATATATAATTTAAAAATATAAATATATATATATATATAATTATTGATGGAATTAATTAAAAATATAGTAAAAAACTATTTTAAAAAATATAGATAAAAGTCACAAAATTAATAAAAAATAATTTAGTATTAATATTATTTTTTTCTTTAAAATACTTCTCTTTACTTTGTAGGGCTATAAACAAGACAAAACAAAGTAGATTAGCAAAAAACAAACAAGAGGCATCTTTAGATAAAAGTAAATAGTAGCTTTAAGCAAAAAATATCTAAAAAAGATTGGTTGTGAATCAAGGTTGAAATTAGACTAAGAGACACCAAACTGTGCACTTACCATTAATGTAGAGTTTTTTTATTGATTGGTGAGCAATATTTAAGAGCAAACTTGATAGGATTTCTTTAAGCATTGATTTTGAGTAATTTGAGTGAATAATGACTAGATAGAAGTTTTGCAAAGTTAAGGTTGTTTTGGATGATGGTGATTTTTGAAGAATAAAAAATAAATCTTATTTATGAAAAAAATTATAACTTTTCTAAGAGATTTATAAATAAAAATTAATAGATCTATAAAAATAATTATATTGAATGTGCATTATGAACTTAAACTTAATTAAATGGTTAGATTTATGACTATTGAAATTTAAGTATATTAAGTTCTTTAAAATTGGATTTTGATAGTTGATCAAGGTTTCTACAATTTTAATTAATTGGCCAATTGAATTGAAATGATATTTTTGTAAGTTAATAGTTAACTTAGTTTTTAACATCTATGCAAAGTTTTATATTAAGTAAAGAGTGAAAAATAGAGCTATTAATACTAAAAAATTGACATCAAGATTAGAAAAAGTAGACAACTAACACATAAGCATATTATAAATTTTTTCTTCTTATTTGTAAGTTTAATTTTCTTCAAATTATACCTTTTAATTTTCTTCAAATTTGTAAATTTACTAATTAGTAAATTTAAAGGTATAATTTTTTTGTATCAAGATCAATAATTTACTTAATAATTATTAGAATTTTAAATTTGCTACAAAGTTTAATTATGGTTGATTGGAATTAGCTAAGTTTTAATTAGGATTTGCTTAAGATTTTCTTAAGATTTGATTATAACTTGATTAAGATTTTATAAGATGTACCAAGGTTTAATAAGGATTCAATTAGGATTTACTTACAATTTCTTGAAGGTTAATTAGAATTTGATTAGGATTTTTTTATGATTTCTTCAAGATTTTTTTAAGATTGATTAGGATTTTTTCAAGGATTTTTAATATTAAATTTTGTTTAATTCTAATAAATCAAAGTTTAGATTTTGAAAGAAGACTAGATAGAATTTTTATAAGTATTAATTTAAAGGAATTTAAGTACAAATTGAATTTATGAGAGCTTTGCAAAGTTTGGGTTGTTTTAAGTGACTTTGTTTTAAGTTGAATAAAAATAAGATTAACTTTTGGTGAATTATATGAGTTATCTAGCAAATATATTGATAAATATTTTTAGAATAAAATCCTTTGTACTCTTATAGTTAATTTTTTATATATATATATTTATAAATTTTTTGATATCAAGTTAATGGTTCAAGAGAGATGAATTCAAGCTCAAAGATTTGTATTGAAGTTGAAGAAGAAAGATAGCTAATATCCAAAAAAAATTGTAAATTGTTTCTCTTTATTTTTAAATTAGATTTTCTTAAACTTTGTGTACTTGTTGTTAATTAGAAATTTGAGATGTATGAGAAATTTGAATCAAGATCAAAAGTTAATGTAAAACTTATTGAGGTTTGAAATCTAGCATAGTGTTTATTTAGAATTTGATAAAGGTCAGTTAGAAATTATTTTTTATTCTTTTAAAAAAAATTATAATTTCTTTAATATTTTTAATATTTTTATTTAAGGTTTATTTTTATTTTTATTCCTTTAAGATTATTTTTGATTTTTTAAGGATTTTTTTATTAAAACTGTTAAGGTTTATTTGGAGTTGAATATAGTGTGATAAGTTTGCTCAGGTTATTGAAGATTATCAAAGGATCATGCAAGATTAGAGTTTAAGAGGAGTATATAAAATTATTAAGTACTATTTGTCAAATAAGTGGCGGATTGTGGTGACAATAGCTAAAAATACATTTACAAAAATATATAAATACAATGAGAAAGGAATTTTCTTACATTCACCAAAATAAACAAATCAAATTCTTTCATTTAGGGTATTGCTAATACCACTATAGTTTTAGCTATTGTCACCAATAAAAATCAAATGTATCGCCGATGAAGAAAAGCTACACAAGGGATGCATGGTGGGCAAGATGATTTTCGTCTACAGACATTGCTGTGCACCTTCTGCTGCACCGATTGATGCATGAAGCACCGTCACGCTGTTACAGCCCACCAAACAATCAATGGGTGGTAATGAAAGCCACAACTGCTTGAATTGCTCCACACATGCCTGGTGTTCCTTGGAACAATTTGTGTCCCCCGATGTCCTCCACCGAGCTGGTGTGGTACATGTGGTAATGAAGACCACCACCCGAACTTCAACCGAGATCTTTTCCATGATCACGTTGATTCGTTCCATGAGACGGCACCGTTTGTGAAGTACAACCAGCCCTTCAAGTAAAGCACCACGCTCCCATCGAAATTGACAGTGGTGCGTGCCCGCACTGCGATTCAATCTGAGTTCTCTTGCTAGTGGTAGCCTCCATTAGCTCCTACACAAGCTCGATTGAGTCTAGAAACTGTTCCATGTTGGATCATCGATGATCCAACATCTGATAGTTTCGCTACATCTCGTTTAACATTACTCGTTGATTAAGATATGATTTATCCACATTGGTATGTAGGGAAAATATGATTCAAGAATAAAAAGCGCAAAATCAGCTTTTCATTTGATTTAGAGTTGTATTTTGTTTTATGGTAAGTTTATGCTTCAAAATAAAATAAATCTTCACATATTCTAATATAATATTTTTACTTACATATGTTTAAAATAAAAACAAACTTAAAAAACACATATTACTTCAATTCATATGATATGTGTTTTACTTCAAAAATAAAACCTCTTTTATAGAACCAAGACTGAATATTGCACTTTTAAATCAAATAAGTTGACACTATCACCAATTCAAATAAACACCTGAAGTCATTTTTATTCCGATTCAAAAATATATTTATATATATATATATATATAAATAAATTACAATAGCTGAGTTAGTTCATCAATTATTAACACATGAAACATCTGATAATTTGGATTGGTGCAAGAAACCATTTTATATTAACGTCTTCTAAAATAGCAAAAAGTTACCCCCGAAAAAGGAGTTTCCATAAAGTCAAGCTGAAACCCACCTCCCCCCAAAAACACATGCAAATAATTATGTTAAGGTTTGTAATTTAGATATTCATTGTAGAATTGTCACCCAAACTCAATAATCCAAGCCCCGGATCAATTCACATGATCAGTTCTCCACAATCTAGGTTTAGGGTTTCCCCTAATTCCCTCTCACGATTTAGGGTTAAGGTTTCACAGGACGCGTTCTCGCAATTTAGAAGTTCACTGCCCTGGAAAATACTTTGCAGAACATCCAGCGAAATCCGTTTTTCCGAACGGTTGCTCGATCCCGACCTTGTCAACCAACAACACCGACCGCACCTCGCAATTCGCATAGCCGCCCTGCAACTCCTCCTTCACCTGTCTCGACAAGTCTGCGCCGAATAGCCTCGTGAATTCCCAAATGAACCCGCTGTGGCTCACCACTGCAATCTTTTGCTCTGTTTGATTCAACAACCAATTAGCGAAACCCCTCGCGCGGTATCGTACTTCCTGCGGTTGCTCTCGAGTATCAGGCTTCCAATGGATGTCTTGGTCGCTCAAAATGTCGGTGAAGTCTACCGCAGGGTATTGGGTTTGGAGCGTTGTAATGTCTTGTCGACGATCGCATGGGTGGATGCCCAGATGCTCCCGGCACCATTCCACGGCCATGAACTTGGGACAGCATTTGGATGATACGCTTGGGTGAGTACCAGCGACGTTGGTAAGCATGAGGGCTGTGTCGGTAGGCTCCGAGGAGCGAATCGGTTTGCCTGAGCCAAAGACACCAATGGCAGTCTGGATGCAGCGAGAGAGCGGGGAAGTGACGACGAGTTGGGGCTTGATGGCTCCCGTAAGGGTGACGTGCTCCCGGAGGTATTGGGCCTGATACCAGCCTAAGTCGGTGAGAGGCGCGTCAAAGTAGGCTTCGGATTTGTAAACGCTATCATCAGGTGATTCGAGGCGAGCTTTGTTGTGGGTTGCTTGGCCGTGGCGGACGAGGTAGATTACCTTGCAGCGGGCCAAGGGATAGGCCCCAGACGCCTTTGTCATCTTGAATCACGTCCAAGTCCCACAGCTTGGAATGGCTTGTATCTTTTAAAAAACAAGAACCGGAACCTAATTCATGGGTTCGGAAATTAAGCGTTGGTATTGTGCTTGTGATAGTCTTTCTTCACTATCAAGTGATAAAACTTTTCTGCGCCGTGCTCCCAGCGCTGAGCTCACCGTAATGTTCGTGAAGTAAGCATTTGAATTTTAAATCCAGCAACGCATAGGGCTCGATGGTGGAAACTAGAGTTAGGGTCTGGTTTGCGTTGAAGGCGTCCCTTCGGCTCGAAGAGTTGGCTCTGGCGATGTAGTTCAAGCTTTTGCAAACAACATGCCCTTTCAGTGAATGTTGCTGATTCAACTTCGGTGGCAATCTGAATAGAATATGAACGCGGAGACCAGCTTCACAGGAGAGGTAGAGAGATCACTTTTGCAAAACTTTAATGCAGTAAGGAGAGTTGCATGCGATCGTGGATTTGGGGTTTAACACAGTTTGAATCTTGAATCTGTCTCACAACGTCCTCTTCATGTTTTGTTGTGTATGTTTTTACAGAAAGTGTTCTGGTTTTGCTACTCTAGTGAACATCGAATCCTCAGTTTCTGATATCATTAAGACTGTTATTGTTCAGGAAGCATGAATGGTATTTTAATGTATAATACAGAGTAATATTACTCATTAGCGGCAGTTAATGGTAATAAAAATACTAATATTGTAAAATAATTTGTTTGTGAAGTTTTCCAGTATTTGTACAAAAGGTCCTTTGTTATTATTCTAATAAAATGATTTTTATGCAGGGTTGTTTTTTATTTATTTATTTTTTTCATCGCCTCACAGCTTGGACTTGTGGCGATGGTCAATGCCTGGCCAGTCGTTTTTTCATGTTGAGAGTTTAGAATTGATCAATGGATGGTTGTATAACATGTGTAGAATATATAATATAGTGTAGAATGTATATGTATATATATATATATATATATACACACACACTAAAAGGTGTGTTTTTTTAATTTTAAATTGAGATTATTTAACAGCAAGCTTATCATTATTAGTATTTTCATTATAATATTATTATTGAATCAAAATAATAAAATAATATCTAACTTTTAAAAAAATAGAATTTTAAAAATGTAAGGGAAGAGTTGAATGACATTGAAATTTAATCTTGATCTTTAAGAAAAAAATTAGATTGGTAATGGTAATAAAAATACTAAAAACAATCATGTATGAAACATTTGGTGCTTTCTATGAAAGATTAAATTTTAGATTTTAAATAATAAATATTTTTCAAATAAAAAAATTATGGTATCTCATTAATTAATCATGTCAAACAATATTTACATGCTTTTATAAGTTTTAATAGATTTCACACATTCTAATAGTATGCAAATAATCAATATTGCATAATCAATTAATAACTTGGAGTTGGTATAAGTTACTAATATTATATTATAGTTTATTAATTTATCTTGATATTTTACACAACATGTGTTTTGAAGTTAAAAGGCAAACAGTGATGTATTTTTTATCAATATTTTGTATTACAAAATTAATCAAATCAAATTAAATTATGATATAGTGCAATTAAAATTTAAATTCAAGGGTCATATTTAAATTTTAATCACTTTTTTAACTATTTTTTTAATTAAGTGGTAGAATTATTCATAATTGTACAATATAACTTTTGTCTTAGTAACATATTTTTTTCTTTTCATAATTTTTTATACATTACATTTTATATAATAATAATTTTTTATTTACTATTGAATAATAATGTATTAAATATTTTATTATTTTTTAGTCAAAATTATACATATTAAGGAAAAAATGGATTATTAAATATGATTAATTATGTTTTCCTTCATATAGTGATGGTTAGAAATTTGTCAATGGATGATAGAAATTGTCACAATGGCTTATCGACGTGTCCGAGGAGCCATACACTACCTTTAAACCAATGTGGGACACTTTTACAAAGACATGATGGCACTAAGTTTACACCAATCTCAATGGAACAAATGACTCTTTTATTCCCTAAGCAAAATAATCTATAGTCATATAAGTAATTGGAGTGACTATGGGTTTTGATGAAATCACTAGCATTCAAGGTGCTATTGCACAAATAGCCAACCAATCAAATCAAGAGAGCCTTGAAGTACCTCCAATGGTTTTTTATATGCCTAATTTTTTTCTAAGCACCACTTAATATCTTACTTTTGTTGCAATGCCACTGCTAGTTACCCTAGTAGCTTTTTTTGGCACAACTTTGTAAAATCTACTATTATTTTGTAGTACAACCTGTGCGTCGTTGGCGCTTAACTCGCGATAATTTTACTTCTCCTTATACTGCAAAATTCAATTTGTCTCGAAGTCATGAGTTATCTCAGTTTAGATCAGTGCTTGGTGGAGCTTCATGCACTTGCTGTTGCTATTCTTCATTCGCATTCTTGTTAGAAATGGCTTTTGGTCAAGACTATTGGATTTTTGGAGTTCTTACAACAAGTTGTTGTATGCTACCTCTACTACTTCTTCTTCTTCGGATGCTCGTTGATGGGACAAATGTGCGCATTGTAGAGTTGCGTACTGGATCCTAACACAGACGGAGAGTCGCCACAGCTCTCTTTGATCAGGGAGATTTTACAAGTGGTCGGGTTCATCTTGATTTTGGTATAAACTTTCAGTGTTATTTCGGCTTCTGCTTCTTCTTGCAAATCCCATATTGATTTACACACGATTACAGCTGATGCATGATTATGATGCTCGTGCTATCGTACTTTTGCGTATTTTTTGCGGTCGTAATTGCAAAGTTGGCATTTCTTCCTTTGTCTGTCCGTAAAACGACTTGGTCCCTCAGTGGAATCAAGCAGGCACACTGACTGTTAAAATGTGAGGTTGTTCCTGACGAAGGTTCATTCTCCATCTGCTTGAATGTGTACTCTCTGAATGAGTCATCTCGGTATCATAAGTGGTTGACATGCACCATCGCCACTCTGCTTTTGAAACCTGGCCTTACTATTGGACTTTGAAGTTCCTTAGTGAGCAGCTTTTTTTTGTTCTTTTTTTCTTTTTCGTTTGTGGTATTCTGTGCAGTGTACATTTACCAACATGATGTTTTCTCACTCAGCAGAGTTGAGTTTTCTTCGTTGTCAAAAAGTGCTGAGCGCACTCATGTCTAGTAGTTATTGCTCTCTCCTTGCAAAATATCTCCAACCTCCGCGTTGTCTTCACAATCTGGTGTTCGGTCGCGTGTGCATGGCATGGACCTTAAAGAGCCGAATCACTGACGTCTTTTCTTTTTTCTTTTTTCAGATGATCGTATATCAAGCTGCTTCGATTGGTGGTTTAGTATTCTGGTTTAACTGCAGGTCTCAGTATTTGCAGAGGGAAGTGTATGATTGGAACTCTCAGGAAATTCGGTATTTGTCTATGGTCGGGGAAATTTTCAAGAGGCGCTGATTGTTATTAAATCTACCTTGCACCTACTCTTCTACGACACAGGAGAGGAAATTCCAGAAATATTTAAAGAAACCTAGGTCTGTGAAAAGTTAAAAGTTGAGATTTGTGCAAGATCTTCTAACCACGGTCAAAGAGCCACAAGAGAAAGTAAAACAAAGATGGGAGGATTAAAAAAAATGACGAAAACTTTAAGATGACAAAAACAATTTCAATGATGTTTCATTCAAAATTAAAATTTTGACTATTTTGAAAGAGCTGTTAAAATGAGAACTCGCAAGGTCATCTTTGACTCAACATTTTGATGATGTCTTTGACTAAAAGAACTTTGCAATCTCTTCTTATCTTGTGAGTTGTTCATGGCTAAAACAGATTTGAATTTTTGAATTTTTGGATTTTATTTATCTGTTTATTTATTTCTCACGTGGAAAAGTGTAAGGCAACACTATTGCGAGGATTCTTTGCTTTCAGTGGAAGAGAAGTCCTCCGAGATGGTTTGTGTTGGCCATAACTTTGATAGCAGTTGGAGAGAAAGCCGCGCCAACTTGCAGGGCATTGAAATTTCTAGTCGGAGTTCCGAGAGTGTAGAGTGAAACGAACGATGTATAGATCTTGCATGAGACAGGGTGATCGAGGTGTACAAATCTGAAAGTGCTTATTGGTGTTGCATCTCTAAGCAACGTGTGGCACTGTTGAAGCATCCAATGGAGGGGAATTCGTCATGGTTCAAAGCAAAATTCACCTTAGATTTCGCTGTGACAGTTAGAATCGTCAAACCTATGACCTAGGGAATGCACTCCAAGGAAGGCAATCCAAAACCTACCAGGGCTGGGGAGATAAAATTCACACCCAGTGAAAACCATCTGCATGTGATTTTATTGCTTGTCCATGGCGAAGGTGAGGTGGATTTGCTTGAAAATTACCCTAAAAGTACTGTCGTTTGAAGTATGCCTAAACTGATCCTGAGATTTCAATCTGCGTAGTTCTATTTTTGCAGGGGCGTGACAAAATCGCTGTTAAGGGTCAGCGCTGCAGCGACTTGAAGTGGACGAGTCAAACCAGAATCTCTTCAAGCCCCACGTGAAAACTATTTGCTGTTGGTGATGGTGTTGCATTCTATAATTTGAGCATGTGATAGACTAGTAGTTATTTCTGGAGCCCCAACCCGTGGTTCTCTTTTCCTTATATTTTGCAAATAGATGGAGTACTCTGGTCTAGAATGCTATGCTGAGAGTGCCATTTGCACCCACCAAACTTCCTCTGACACTGCATGAACGAACCACGAGTCTCCATGTTTCCGTCGGCAATGGATCGATGTGGCATCTAGAAGATTTCAGCATCGAAATTGCAGCTGTGATCTTGACACAATTAGGGAACACATTTTGTAAAAGGTAAGTGACATCAGTAAATCCATAAAAGGTCCCTCACCAAGATGTAAGCTATGTCTAAAATATTTCACTCCTTTCAAAAATATAAAAAGTCAAAAAAATGAAATAAAAAATAAATTGTATAAACAAAACAAACAAAAAAACAATATATATATTTTTTGAGTTTTATATTTTATATTCTTGGTAAGACAACCCAAGTATGATGTTTGTAATAAAAATATTCAAATCCATTAATAAATTTCTATGATATTAACTTATCATAGAAAAGTTATTCCAATAACATTTAATTTTGTTGAACAATCTTTTAATTTATATCATTAACAACTATAATTAGTAAATATTTAATAATTGATTTTTTTATGTACCAATTTTCATCAAATAATGATTTACTAAGCAATTTTAACTTATATAAGCAATAGAAATTATATATTTATTTCTATTCTAATATTTTAGATGCTTTTACAAAATATTTTGTAATCTTTTTGGAAATTTTAATTTTATTATAACCTATTCTATAAGTTTTTCTAGAACCTTCTTGAATTAATATAAGTAAGTTACCAAAAAGAATAATATCATGTTCTTGCTAATATATATATTTTTTATAATATAATCATTATTTTTTTCTTATTTTTTTCTTTTATATAGTATTAAATATAATATTTATTATTATTATTATTGATATATTTAAAAATAAAAAAATATATTTTATGAATTTTTCAATTATTATGAACTATTAAAAAAATATCATACATGCCATTAAAATATATTGAAATATCAAAAATATCCATGTATTTTTTATAATAGCATATCTATTCCTTACTTTTGTGATAATTATAAATATATTATTGGACAATTATAAGCTACATTTTATTTATTTTTTATTTTTTGTAATTACATTTGAGCCCAATTACAACCTCTTTTCTTCAATTTCTAGGCCCAATATAAAATAGACGCCTCTACCTCCAACACAAAATGATACAATATATCATTGCAATTTTTTTGAAACTAAACCACTAAACTCTTGGATAGGTTTAAGCAATAAGGTAGTTTTTTTCTTCTTTAAAATTTATCTTCTTCACTTCTTTTCTACTCAAAGAGTTCATATTAATGGACTTGTAGTTTTTATGTGGTCTAAGTGGGCTTTCTTCTTTGCTATTGCAATCACTATTCAAACAAATTGACTCTTATGATTCCAAAAAACTTCTAAGACCACATAGATAATGAACTAAAGTAATATCAAAATTAATAAAAATCATTGTTAAATGATTTTGAATTCTTTATAAAATAAAAAATCATAGAAGTATATAGCACATTGTCAAAGGTATAAAGCATGTATAATAAAGTAGTTATTTTTTTTTATTGCCACTACATATAATGCTATGCTACTTACACAAATGTGTTGATCTTTGTTGTTTCTCCAAAATCTAGTTAGAAGTTTTCATAGAATTGTGAAGAACAAGAATCCAATGAAGGCAAATAAGAAAGTGAGACTTTTTTTTTAAAGAAAGATGATAAAATAGATATAAAGAAATATGTATATTAAAAAGTAACTATAATGTCTATTGCCAAAAGATAAGAAAATTAGAAACCCTTGAAACTAGATTAGAAGTAAGAAAAGAGTTGAAAAGAGTGAACAAGACTTTACTCTTGCCTCTATATATACTATCTACTTAAGAGCTATATGTGTCACAAACATACATTTTTATTCTAATATTTACCTATATGATTAAATAGGAGTATGTAAAAGTAAATTTATTTCATAATATTTTTTAAAGAAGCTTTCTAGAAGCTTCATTGATGCTACTTTGACTTAACATGTATTTGTAGTAGATTAAAAATTTGGTCAACAAGTTAACCACATATTGATAGCTTGCAAGACAAGTTAACTATGTAGTGCATATATAGAAAACTTGCCTTGCAAATTAAAACACGTGTCTTGTAAAGTCAATAATTTTTGGAGGTCCTATAGAACATTGCCACATAGTTCCTAATTAAGAGTATATATAGAGCTAAGAGTGAAGCCTTCTTTATTCTTATCAATATCTTTCTAGTCTTTAGTCTTGTTTCAAGACTTTTTAGTCCTCTTGTCTTTGGCAATAGCCATTCTACTTCAATATACTACCCCTTTTAGTGATTTCTTAGTCTTTTTGAGTGACACAAGACAATATTGAGATTTTTTTATTTTTTATTTTTTATTTTTTTCAAAATTCATTTCTTTGACAAGATAGCAATGTTCTATAGGACTTCCAACATTTATCCAATTTTTGAGACACATGTCTTAACTTGGAATGCAAGTTTCTTATAAGTGCGCTATATTGTTAGCTTGTACTACAAGCTATCAATATGTGCAATGCTTGGTTTACTCGTTGGCTAAATTTTTAACCTACCAATTACCTATAGATATGTACAAAAGTGAAACTACGTCTATACAACTTCTAAGAAGCTTTTCTAAAAAATATTATGAAATTAATCTACTTTTATCTACTTCTATTTATTCATATTACCTAAATAACTATTAGAGTAAATATATATGTTTGTGATAGGAATTTAGGATTTTCATGTAATTTTTTAAAAAATTAACAAGAAGTGTACTTTAGCATTTAAGTTAGAGGCAATCGCATTTTATGGCACTTGAAATTCTGAGAATGGTTAATAAAAATGTTGAGTTTGACTTAGTACTCAACTAGTATGAGAAGATTCATGTAGAATTTCCTACTACATGGGCTTGTTGCAGCTAGAAAGCAATTGCTTGTGAGATAAAAGTAAGGTATAGATCTAGTAAACATAGAGAGATAAATTTACATACTCTACTACTTGTTTGGTTAGCATTTTGGTGAAGAGTATGGAAGGACTACAATAACAACAACTAACACAATGAAAAAACGGAGATGGCAGCAATTAATTATATGTTAGTAATTACTAATTCTTTAAACCTTCTAATAGAAATAAAGTAAGAGTAGAAGGTAGCTACAAGACTGAGTAAATAGTTGAGAAATTGATACAAAATTTCTTTTTTATGTGTAGGTTTCAGCAGAATTGATTATATGTAAGCATACCATATAAAGAATCTGTGGAGATTTAAAGATGAAGAAGACTACACTAATGCTCAATAGTTCAATTCTAGAAATTCTGCAATAACAATGGAAGCAGGGATGTCTATTTTGTATAAAGCCTAGAAATTGAAGAAAAGTGCCGTATTTGGACTCTATATGCAGCTATAAAAAATAATAGATTATAGCTCGGCTCCAAGGCGTGCTGTCCACCTGCTTCATGAGGTTTCCTCGTTTAGAAGACTCTGAATCGGCTTCTGGGCTATATGTGGATCTGCAAGGGTATATTTTGAGTTGAGGAAGGAACATCAGGTGCCGCGAGGGTCGCATTGGAATTATTGTAATGTGATCTGTTCACACCGGCAAGGACCCACGGTCCATTCCGCGTTCGTCTCCCCGAGGATTTCTGAAAGAGATACTCCTTGTCGATAAACAGGAGTTGTAAAATCAATTGCAAGGAAAAATTCCATTCAAACTTCTGTACTTTTCGGGACACGAATGAAACAAATTCGCTTGAGGTTTCGAGGGTAGAGGAATGCCAGCCTCTAAGACGAAATCCATTTCGAGAAGATTTTCTATTTAAAATTTTGCTAAAAGAGATGATAGACGGTATTTGGATTGTGCTAGAACTGCCAGAAGCCTTTCAGTTTGAACAACCATTTTGGAACCGTTTGACCTGCTGAAGAAGTACTCTGGAGTCTGGGGTTAACGGAGATTTTTGCCTATGTGGACATTTAATTTTTTTGATAAGACCAAGTGCAGCTGTTTGTTTATATTCTGGCCCAGACCTAGTCCTAGAACTCATGCATTGACCACGAGCAGAAGCTGGGACCCATGCTTCCGGCTGTGGCAAAAACCAATTTAATTTTGTCAGCCATCCATTTATATCAACTTCTGAAGTGTTGAAATGCCACGAGTGATGCGCGCATAGGTATTTTCAACTAAATTCACAAACATTAGAAAAAAGATTTTTACATCGCAAACTTCGACTATGCCTTTTGAGCAGTGTTTCGCAGGTTTGAAATGTCCTCCAAGTAAATATCACAGGTCGAAAATAATGTTTTGGTAATATTGAGAAATGAAACGAAATTAGTGTATAAGTTGCTTCCTCTTAAAAGCACTGTTCAGACATTAAACATGTTACTTCTTCATTTCCAAATGGTTGATTAGCTTGAAAAGCTGACTGTAAATACTACAGAAAGTTAAGTATTCCATGACGCAATTGCGCAGCACGAAATGAAAAATTGTTTTGAAGTAAAATTCCATTAAAATTAGCTCAAAACTTGAGCACACCTTGAGGAAAGCTGTTCAACGGTGTCAATAAAGAACGTTCTATTAAGGGAGGGTGTATGATCTATTGAGATAACGTGGTGAAGTTGGAATCTTGACTAACTGTACAGCCGGTAATTAAAACTTGCCCTCGGCGTTCTTCAAACCCTGCAAGTGGCGATCGGTGGTGCTTTTGAAGTTGGAATTGGTTACCCGGCCTTGATTTGTCACACATAAGTTTGAATAAGCTGGTGTACTTCAATTCAGTCCCTTCTCCAGTGAGTTTCGTGCAGCTATTGTGAATGATCACCTCGGAAAGCATGCCAGAAGCCTGATTCTTGGAACATGACTATTTGGGACATCAAACTTTGCGCAATCTCTTTGTCTCTCTAGGATATTCGTAGCTCCTTGACTGCTCGAAATTGACTTGTATCCATCTTTACTGCTTGATTACAACGTAGTGACCGCGTCTGACTTAGTTCGGGTTGTGCGTGACGACGTTTCTCGGGAATAGATGAGAGGAGTATGAGCACGACACTGCGATTGAGCATATAAAATATAGGGTTTATAAGTTTTGTGCGAGAGAGAGCGAGAGAGAGGGAAAGAGGGAGAAAGATTTGTGAGGACACTAATGCACACACACTCAACAAGCCTCATGTGGTTTCATCTACTGTGTGACTGCAAACATATTTGTATGTTTCCTGGAGAAGAAGGTTCGTGAGCGATTTCGGATTAGACTGCCAGTAGAACTGGAATTATCTGAGCCACTGTTGCAATTTGTCATACAATGGAGATGAAACCTGAGCAGTAGGCCTTCGTACACGGCAGGGATGGAGTCGACACCTCATCGTGGAGGAGTGCCAGATCCTAACGACGTAAACCTACTGTCACGAAGCTTCTCCATGGACTTCGCCAGCATGTTAGAAAGTACGGATGGCGTCTTGCACCAGCAAATTGACGAATACCTTCAGGGACCAGCAGATCACCACCAGTTTAATCATGATGATGGGACTGGTTTTTCAATTCCTTACTCGGAACCCCTCTCGTTCGCTGCTGCATCGCCACCTTTTCAGTCTATTATGTCTGTAGAGACACTTCAAGGGAGCAACGTCATGAAGCAGAGCCTGGGGAGAAATTCACATCATTGTGGTCCTGAAATTCAGTCAAAAATACAATACGTGCAGATGCTCCCGATATCGATAGGAGCTGCTAACCTATGCGCACCCCATCAGCAGATACATGACATGGGTTTTCTGGAACCCAGCAGCTTTGAAAGAGAACTCCAAGCGCCAGCTCAACCAGATATGTTCTACCATTGCAGTTCTGAACCGGGTGCGGTCATTCCTGGAGAAGTTTCGGGCTACGAGCAATCCTGCTCCCCTGACAATTTCAGGGGAACTACCTGTGAATCAATTGGCCCACAATCAGAACTTGGAGCCGGGAATCTGTTCCAGAAGGATCAGGTGGTTAAGGGAAAACGACCTACTGATGCAGTAGGGCATATCATCAGAGAACGCCAGCGAAGGGACGACATGACGAACAAATTTCTGCTGCTGGAGTCTATATTACCACCTGCACCGAAGGTAATTATTCTGCTTTAATTTTACCTCATCTTCGTTCAACTTCATGCACTGCAATCACATGCAATTAGAATGGCGTTAATTTTCATTTATATTACGCTGGCTCCAAAACAGTGCATACATACGGTATTTACCAGCGGAATATAGAGGTCCAGTAGTGAACCTGATCTGGGTTTACATGACCTCTGACCACCTCTAAGTATCTACATCCCCTTTGTTAAGCATCATCCACAACTTGTAACAGTTGTTGTAGGCAATACCGACGGTTCATGCAGAAGTTTACATGCTTGAATGCTGTGTGAAATAATCAATGCAATCCATGATCACTAACACATTGAAGTTATACTTGTTGCGGTATTACCCCGTTAGATCTATCGGTGACAAGCTTTTATATTCTATGTCGAGTGACCAAACACGGATGTTTGTTTGGATATTTTCTATAGCGTGACAGGGCGACCGTGATCAAGGATTCAATCCAGTATGTGAAGAATCTGCGTCATCGGGTCAAGAACTTGCATCAGAAGCGTTCCCAGATGCGGTCCAAACTCACTAATGTTTCATTTCTCAGTCCTACCGCTATCATGCAGAAGAAAAACGAGAAAAAGTTATTAACGCCCACCAACTCACAAGCATTACTGCAAACTAGCGTCGCAAGCGACGACATTGTTTCATGTCCGATTCATTCGGATGAAATGGGAAAGACGACTGACATTGAAAAAGTGAAGGTACATGTAGACTTGCCGCACCAGGTTGTTATCGAGATGACATGCCGACAGCAGCCTCGCGTTCAGATTCGGTTACTGAAAACGTTGGAGTCCATGGGGTTGGATGTGTCGCGATGCAGCGTTTCGAAAATACGGAGCCATCTCTTGTTCAGCATTATCGTGAAGGTATGTTACTGGTTGCAGTCCTAAACTTCAACAGTAACGGATAGAACCTAACCACACTTATCAAACTTAAATAACGAAGCACATGATCATTCTCATTAACAATAGTCATCAATTTGCAACTCTTTCAGCGAGTCTCTTTAGAATTATCTTTCTCTCTTACTTCGGCTTCAACCGAGTTCTTCAGAGCAAATGCAATCAGATGAGAAGGCATGTACTTATATCACAAAATGACAACCAACTGAGATAAAACCTAATCAAGGTGGATAGCATGCAGAACTTTTCCAACCGAGTAAAAAACCTGATCGAAAAAAAAAACAAAGACCAGGGTTTAGCATAATCTCGCTCAAAGGTTACCAGAGAAAGATCGCTCTTCAGTAGCTGGAAGTTCACCATGAGCTGTCGAGTCAAGCTGCTTAACACCTAGACATACCAAGCTATCATAGTCCAGCTCTTGACACCACTTTTAGAGGGATCTCATACACCAACAACAGCTAACCTGTGTGTCATTGTGGTGATGCATTACTCAACGGCCAGCCACGCATGATGGCCGAGCCTCCACTTACCAGCAAGGACATCGTACAAGCTCTGAAACTCGCCGTTGCACCGGCCGACTTGTAAACACAGACCTTTATTCTGTCTGGCACGACCCAACCTTTTTCTCTGTATAGTGCCGCCGGATTGTAGACAGGGAGCTGGACATGGAAGCCATCTCTCTGGATGTGGCAGAGTGAACAGACTGCAGACTGCAGACATGAGAGCTCGGTGTTGTACACTATAAACCAGTTTTCGAAGCTACTTGCATCAGTGAGCACAGCGGTGTGTGCAAGGCCAAGTGTAAATTTGAGCAATAACTTGGAACGTGTTTCATCCAATAAACACACACACACACACACACACATATATATATATATATATATATATACATATATATACTTGGTTCCTTCTCATTGTACCCATCCATGTTCTTGCATGTGGGTGTGCGTTGTTCCATCAACTCCTTTTAGAACACTTAACACTGCCACATGTACTATCTGTGTTAAACCTTGAACTTTTGCATAAAGGTTTTAAGGTTTTGAAAACTTTGCTTATGTGTATGTAAATTATACTTTATAATTTTTCCTTTTTTTGTATACATGTGATAATAAATTATTCAAGAAGTCTTTTGGAAGTCATGAAATATAATCATAAACATTTAAAACTAAAGTAATAAATATAAAGTACAGAATATGTTCGAAATGTTTTTTATATATATTTTTAGTCTAATTAAAATGTGCTTAGTCAAATATCAAAACGAATATGTTACAATTGAAAGGATTGTATTCGATTGATACTATACATTACAGTGATTCATTAAAAAAAATTAATGATTAAAATTATTATATCTTGACAATTTAATTCATTTTTAATTTATTTATATACCACAAGATTATATGAAAAAATATAATTTATAAATATATTAGAAATGTATCAAAATAAAATAAAATAATTTTGATGTAGGTAAAAAATTGATATTTAAAAAAATTAAATCCAATACATATTAATATAATTTTTTTTTGTATATGAATATAATCATGTGTTTAAATATAAATGTATAATCAATAAGATATGTAAAATTTTCTTATTAGTATTGTGTTAGTAGTGATAGCTAAACCATTAAAAATAACTTTAATACTTTGTTTTAAAAAATATATATATACATACATTTATAAACTTTTTCTTTCCATTTCTTTAAAAAATTAAAAACTATATATTCTTTTTTATGTTTTATATCTATTCTAAAATAATAATTTATTTATTACTTATTAATAATCATAATAAAAGAATCTGATAGTCAAATAATTTATTAGAAGGTAGAAAGTGACATTGTATGGCTAAAGGGTCTTTTTAAAAAATTATTTTGATAGTATTTTCAATGTCTTTATATTAAAAATTTACAAATATATATATAGATATAGATGTGTGTGTATTTATTTTTATGTTTATATTTATTGATATGCATTTCTTAGTTATAATAGGAATATGTATTGCTAAGCTTCAAATTTAATTATTAGTTTCTAATAACTATTTATTTTTATTTTTATTTTAACTTCAAATATTGAATGAATCTCTGGTACATTCTATTTTATTTATTTTTTATTTTTTCATTTTTTTATCTTCAAAAAATGATACATGTAAATTTAAGTAAATAATTTAGTTTATATAATTAAAAATATTATTTTGACAAACAAGATGGTCATTGTATTTTTTTCTCTTTTTTTATTTTAGTTTCTTACAATTCTTATCATCTGTTATTATTAAATACTTTTATGTTCAATTACAACCTAGATGATGGTTCTAATAGTAGTAAATCTGATCTATTATTTTATAGATATAAAAATAGATATTAAAAGACAAGATGTAAATTCATCCTCAAAAACTCTAGTGAAAGCAAATAAAACAATTTCATCTTATTAGGGACTAAGACCCTTTTTTTATATGTTTAAAAAAGATCAAGAATTGGATTAATATTTATATCACATATATATATATATATATATATTTATATATTTGAAAAAAGAATTTAAATAATAATAAAAGAAGAGAAAAATAGAAGAATGAATTTTGAATAATAGTAAATAATAATAATTATAATAATAATGTAAAAACCACTAGAAAACTGAATTTCTTCTAAAATTAAAAAAATGGTTTAGATTATTTTTAAAAAAATATTCATTAATTTTTAGACCTAAAATTTATAAGTTTTACCTAAAATTTTCATCTTTATTACTTTCTATTTATTTTTAAGATAAAATAAAATTATTAAAGATAAAAATAAAGATAATAAAGATACATATATATATATATATATATATATATGTATGTATATATAAGCATTTTCATTTCAGTAGAAGGTGTTAGAATTAAAATAAATAAATAAAAGTATAAAAATAAATTTCTAATTAATGCATTGGATATATCTCTATTATGTCAAAAAAAATTTAAAAATTATAACAATGAATAAGAAAACCATTGAAAGAACTCTTATATAAGAACTATTGGATAATAGGAAGGAGACGAGATCAAGCCTAAAAAAATGGAAAAAACCAAATAAGCCTCATTTTATTTATAATTAAGATGGATAGTAGTAGTACTAGTACTTTTAAATAATACATAATGATTTATTAGAAATATATTGATCTTCTCCAAGGAATGTTTTTAATTTGCTTTAAAATTCAAATTTTAATTTGAGAAAAATGTTTGTTGTTGTATAAGGCCTAATTGACTCTTATCAAAAATATGGAAGATTAAAAAAAAAAAAAAAAAAAAAGAAGGAAGCAGAAAGTGGGAGGTGAGAGACAACTATAACAACCATACATATTTATTCTAATAGTTACTAATATGATTAAGTAGAAGTAGATAAAAATAGATTTATCTTATAATATCTTATAGCATAGCTTCCTAGAAGCTTCATAGATGCTCTTTTGACTTTACATAAGTTTGTAGTTGATTGCTAGGCTAAAAACTTAGTCAACAAGCAACCACATGTTGATAGCTTGTGGAACAAGCTAACTATGTGGTGCACATATAAAAAACTTGCCTTGCAAGTTAAGATATGTTTCTTGCAAAGTCAACATGTTTTGGAAGTCTTATAGGATATTGCCACATAACTCTTAGTTAAGAATATATATGAAAATAAGAATGAAGCTTTTTTTACTCCTGCCAACATCTTTCTAGTCTTTAGTCTTGTTTCAAGACTTTCTAATCTTCTTGTTTTTGGCAATAGCCATTCTAGTTTAATACCATATCATCTTTAAGTAACTTTTTAGTCTTTTTGAGTGATATAAGAGTATATTAAGGATTTCTTTTTTTGAGATTCTTATCCTTGACAACTATTACTAGAGTAAGGAATTAATATTTTATAAAGATGAGAGAAAGTAATTAGGAATTATTCAAAGAGATGAAGTAACCATTAAATAATATGCAAGAGATGCTAGTGATTGTAATGTAGAATAATGCTTGGATTATATTGCACAATATATTGGCAAATTCAAAGATCTTATAGATAATATAGTTATAATAAGAGTTAGACTAGTTAAAAAGATAAATAATGATTTATCAATTATAGTTACAAACGACTAAAAGAAATATTGAGTGTATATACTTGTGATGAAGTTAAGAGCATTTTTGATAGTTGACCTTTGGTAGATGGTTAGAATTGTCTCATCCACAAAGCCAGCAAATCATAGAGAGCTTTTTGTCTATGTCACTATTGAAATCTCCTTCCTTCTCTTAATGTCAAACTAACAAACCAACTCCCATCTTATATCATAAAGAATTCAAATGATGTAGTTGGTATATATGAAAATAGATTCTTTGTTATCTTTAAAAGTCCTTTGAGCATAGTAAAGGACTACTTTAATACTCTAGTTGATAATAGGCATTAAATAGATGGCAACCTAGTTCACAACATTTGCTTAAGGAAAATTACTATTATTATAGAAGCTAAAGTATTCTTTAAGATGACCTATGAACATGCAAAAACCATTAAGAATGGTACAAACTTGTTACTTGAATATGAATATTGGCTAAGACATGAGATAATTTAACAAAAAATCTTGATATTTGGAAACCAAATTTTTGCCAATGATGTATCAAGCTTGTAATGCTAAAGCATATAATTGGTTGAGCTCTTTGAACTCTAAGTCATTGTCTTACATGTAAGCAATCATACAACATTGTTAGAAGGTAGAGAGAAGCACATGTTGTCTAGAGGTCTTTGGCATGTTCACAATTGTCTAACAAAAATACAAAAGTTGACAAAAGCTAACAATTAGAGTTTTTGACAATTATTTAATTAATTTTTTTAAGAACAAGATACAAATCAAAAGACTAATATATGTTTTCACAAATAGACATTAGATATTTCAAATAACTACTTCCTAAGATAATTATTTGATGAATCTAAATTAAGACTAATATCTTGAAATATCAAGTTTGATATCAATTAGCAATCATACAACTTTTGAAAAAATTGATCCTCCCTTCCTAAAACAACTTCCAATTGAGATCGAAAGAAGAAAGACCATAATGTTTTTAGAATATATTCATTGAAGGCATAAAAGATAAGTCTAAAAGTCATAGGCTCCATCTAAAATTGTCCCCATCAATCTTCGTAACTTAGTTTTAGAAAGAGACGATTTTATTATGGAGATAGTAAAAAGTGATAAAGTCTTCAGTGTATTATCATTGAAGAGAATCATCCTTGTTTTTATTAAAAAAAAAATAATAAGGCACGTCAACAACCTCTTTGATTCTCTATTTAAACATTACTCTGCTTGACTTTTCTTACAACATTTTCTCCATTTCATTCTCTTCCTCTGACATCCTTTAATAGGATTGTAAGGGCAGATCACAACTCCTAGATTCACTATTTAACTATAGGTTTACTTGACTTTTCTTGAAACATTTCTTGCAATATGTGCTCCTCCTCTGACACCTTCTGTTGTGACACAAAGAAAACACAAAAATAAAAAGCAAAAAACAGAAAAGCAACAATGTGAATGACAGATCCAATCCGAAATAACTCCATCTCATTATGGCGAGGGTGCTCAGTATTGCTTCGGCTTTATCTGTCAGCTGGCGTTGGTCACGGACGACAGTCAGTGGAGTGGTTTTAGGTTCCGACGGTTACAGAGACTACATATCCAAGGCGTGTGAATCGACGAATTCAGCCGAGACTGCGACAGAAAGCGCGCCATGCGGTATTCGGTTTGAAACCTCCTCCGGAAAGCATTCAAAAGTGCCGCTTCTGGTCACCCGCACCAGCACCACCAGCCCATAGCCGAGCGAGGCAAAAGGACCTACGGCAGCACGACCAGGATATGTATCCATCGGTAGGCTTTCGCTCCGTTAGTGAGTTCAGATTGCAGGAGCGTGCATCGCTCTCAGACGAATCGAGGCTTTCTGACGTACGCGACGCTTACAGATTAGAGAGCGTCGAATCACGGCATTGGTAGACTTGTAGGAGGCTTGTGGGAGACGTCTTCGACTGACAGGAGACAACGGTACGCATGGCGTGTGCAGATCTAGGATTCACTTTTGTAGGGGTACGTGGCCGCAGACTCAACCTGGAAACTGGCGTACGTCGCAGTACGGGCATATGGATGAGTTGCTGGTCGACTGCATGCATGAGTGCAGCGAGATCGATCGACTGCAGTTTCTCCTGAGGCGATTGGTGTTGCGTTGCAGGGTCATGAGGCGGGAAGTGAGTCAGTTGGTTGAAGGAGTGGTTGCTGCGGACGTGATGGAGGTCATGGAAGGGGAGGCAGGCGGGATGCCAGAGGGTGTGATCGATGTTGCAGGTGGGAATATGTTTGCGTCGACGAGAGCCAGGTCAGGGCGAGTTGCGCTGGGGAGTTAGAAACTTTGGCAGAGACGGCGAAATTGTGAGGAGAGGGTAAATATCGGCGCCTGACATGTCGTCTTCCCTGCGCGTGGTCTCTAAGGCTGGGACGTTGGGCAAGAAGCTCTCCTTCGATGCTCGTGACGGAATCTCAGCTGGGAATGATCCTCATTTCCATGAGAGATTACCTCACGCCGAGAGTCGTATTGCAAAAGCTAGCATTCGGAAGCCTCTATTATTTCTAGATGATTCAGAGTCCAGCTTCAAGGTGTCGACTTCGGGGGGGATGAAGAAAACGACTACATTGCCATGTTCTTCCCAGGGCCAGCGGCAGCAACATCATCGCCGGTCGCCCTCGCTAAACAATTTTCCCCGATTTGAGAATGCAGTGACGGATTCAGCAGCTTTGTCGACTAGAGCCTTGCGGCAATCTGCTTCGTTCTCGGGTCGTGTATTCACATCTCGAGGCGGTCGACTTGCTGACCAAAGCACTCCTTGCAGCTCTAGGAAGACCTCCAGGAATGACGTCAATGGTGCCGCTTGGCGAATTAGTCCACGGCTCGAGCTGGAGGAGGATCCCGCTTTCTTGCAGGACCACAATGTGCAGGTCAGTCTCCCTCAGATCCATCGTTCGTATCCTTCACAGAAAAATGCTGGAGAAGCTTGGCCATGCCGGAAAATTCAATCTTCAATTGAGTCGATGCAGGTTTTGCTTCGGGCTCGTCCAATAAGTGGCATCGAAATTGCGCAACTAGGACATGCTAGGTGCATAAGACAAGAGAACGCGTACGCCATCTCCTGGCTTGGTCAACCGGAGACACGATTCTCATTTGATTATGTGGCGAGCGAGTTCGTCACTCAGGTGTGTGTTCATAATCATAACCACCAATTGTGCTGCTGGAGCAAGTTCTGGCAGAAGCATAATTGCTTGCATCGTGTACAGGAAGAGCTCTTTCGAGTCGCAGGGCCACCGATGGTGGAGAATTGTATGGCGGGGAACAATAGCTGCGTGTTCGCGTACGGCCAGGTCCGTCGTCTCTATTCTCCAGCCAATGTACAATTTTAGGTGATACAGAAAACTGATCACTCAATGTTTGCAAGGGTTGATGTTGGGGATTAACTGCAGACGGGCAGCGGCAAGACGCATACGATGCTCGGCGACGTTGGCGACTTCGATCGACAGCCTAACGAGAACCGCGGAATGACGCCGCGTGTGTTTGAGTATCTGTTCAAAAAAATTCACGAGGTACGAGCGCAATTGCTTCACTCTCGAAACGTAGTGAAGCACAAGGGAGTCTGAAACCATTTAACCAAAGCCTTGGGAGTCGCTTGTTTACAGGAAGAAGTGGCGCAGCGACACACGAATATGAAATTCAAGTGCAGATGTTCCTTCTTGGAGATCTACAACGAGCAAATTTCCGATTTACTGGAGCCGTCTTCTTCCAATTTACCTATACGAGAGGATTCAACTAAAGGCATTTACGTCGATGGTTTAGTGGAAGTTGAAGCGCAGAATGTGCGAAACATTTTGCATCTCCTTCTATTGGTACGTTCACAAGCGAGGTCTATTGAAGAGTCTTATTTCAATATTTTATTCTGCAAACGGTAATCTCACAAAGGTATGGCTGTGGCTATGGCGGTTAGGGTGCGGCAAACAGGAAAGTGGCGGCCACGGACATGAACCGAGAGAGCAGCCGGTCGCATAGTGTTTTCACTTGTGTCATTGAGAGTCAGGTATGACGAAATCTGATTGACATTGAAGCTATTGTTGCTGAAAATTTTCAAATGTAATGGTCAGGTTCTGATGAAGGGACCCTGTTGCGCCGATTGCAGTGGGAGTGCGATGCAACGATCAACTCCCGCATCGGACGCCTCAACCTCGTCGACTTGGCTGGCTCTGAAAGGCATGTCAATTCATCTTAGCAGTCTGATCGAATAGTCAGCAGAAATTTTCTCAGTGAACGTTCGTTTTGATTGCTCTCCATTTATTGAAACAGGCAGAAATCCTCCGGCGTTGATGGAGAGCGTTTTCGAGAAGCGGCTAGCATCAATAAATCTTTGTCTACCCTTGGGCTTGTCATAATGGACTTGGTTGACATAGCCAACGGGAAACAGCGGCATGTACCATACCGAGACTCAAAGCTGACGTTCCTCCTTCAGGTGAGTTGTAATCCTGATTTTATTTGTTCGCAACGACCTGAAATCTTCGATTGAGTGCTTACAGTAATCTCGTAATTGGCTGCCAGGATTCACTTGGAGGCAACTCTAAAACTACAATCATCGCCAACATCAGCCCCTCCAGCTGGTATTCAACTTCTGTTTAATCTCTCACTTCAATTTGAAACACTACAAATTGTTAAGATGAGCTAAAGACATGATAAACAGATTTTTATTTCTGCTACGCTTGCAGTGCATCGTCGGAGACGCTCAGCACCCTTAAGTTTGCTCAGCGCGCAAAGTTCATTCAGAATAATGTGAGTTGTCTGCGCTTTAACTGTTGAATTTCTACGCGAGGATATTGACAAAAACCTCTCGATCTTTTATTTAATCGGTCATGGATGGTCAGGCTGTTGTCGGTGAGGATGCTTCTAGAGAGGCGAAAGGATCGAAAGAGCATATCCAACAGTTGAAGGTGAATCTCAATTATCTCTTCTTATTTTTGATGTTGAAGATTCTCTTCCCAAGGGTTGTAACGATCAATATTCTGAATTGTGTGTGGAGACTGTCCACTAAATTAGATTACTCTTTTCAGGGTTGGGTTGTGGAGTTTCTTACCGAATTTAGCTTCCGCATTTTGAAACAGGATGAGTTAGCTCGCCTGCGGAGGCAGAATAATTCAGCAATACCAACCGTGCGTTTGTCAGAACTGAATGATGACCTTTCTACCGATTTGAACTCATTTGAAGGGTCCTTCTTGCAGTTTGGTAGAGCGGTATTAAGTCCAATAGCTTTGCTTCACAAGGTTAACATTGTAACCATGCATCATATAATTCAGCCACTCTTTAATTCTTATACACAATTTTTTTGCTGTGATGTTCCTCCTTTATTTTTGGGGTAAAGACTCGAAGAGAATTATTCATACTAGTTCCTTAGATATTGTGTCTATCCATTTAACTCATAATTGCTTGTCTTGTTTACACCAGCCAGAGATGTTGGTGGTGAAGCTTGTCTCTGAGAGACAAGTAACGAAGCGTCTTCGGAATGAGGTTGGTTCTTATCAGAGAGAGCTCTCAGAATGTCGAATGAAGCTTCGGACCAGTTTAGATGCCAATCAGAGGATCGTAAGGTATTATTGAGTTCCACCTTAAATTCCTCTGTCATGAACATGAAAATAGTTTTAACATACGTTTTTCTTGTATAGATGCTAATGGTATTACTTGGCAGTGAGCTGGATGTATTGCGAATAGAGCTTGAGAGCTCGCAGGACGAGTGCAAAAAGCTCCAACAAGACCTTGGAACGATGAAGGTACCCGTATGTATTTCGCAGCAGTTCTGTCGTCCACTTCGCAAATCAAATTTTGCTAGTTTCAGATCATTTTTTTGTATTTACAAGTAACCTGTGCAGCGTTTTGGTTTTCTCATAAATATTTTACTGGTGAAGTATCCCACTAGTAACAAATTAAGCAAGAAACGTGCTTTAGTAGAATACGTCACTGAAGAGAAATCAATCATCTCTTCTTATTCCGGGCCTGCTCTTCTTTATCGAACAGTGAGTAATCTTGTTTAACTTTCTAATCTTCAGCTGGAGAAAGCACTTGAGGTTAATTGTTTAGAGTTAAAGCAAGCACAGCACCACGAATTGATGTTTGAGCTGAAGGCACAGCTTCTGAAGGTAAAGAACATTTATTTAAATTCAGTGGCATGGGTCCTTCTATTGAGAAGCTAATGCTATTCAATCAATTTCTCTGGGACTCATGTGGTCTATTGAACATGAATCAGAGCGAAGAGAAAGCTGAGCAAGAAGCGAGCAGCCGAAGCCAGCTTGAGATACAGTTGCAGGAGGCAACCCAGGAGTCCACTAATCTGCAGACAGAACTCCAGGTGCCTAGAACTCGAATATTATTTTTACTTTGAGGCACCAACTTCCACTGTCTTGTGAAACAATTCAAGTTCTGTAAATGCTTAATGCTATCCTTTCTGTCTCGTTCAGGGGAATACCAGTTTTAAAACTTTAAAGCAGTCAAAAAGGAAATCAATAGGAAAGAAAACTCCTTTCAGAATCCTTTTTCGTTTTTAAAACGGTTTCATTCTGAATTTTGAGGGGCGCGAGGAAAGATTTTTCCAGTTTCGGAGTAGTGTCTACTTTGGTTCTCAATTGAGTTGGCACACGTCCACTCCTTTTCACTCTCCAGTTACATTAGTATGAAACATGGTAAGAAGGTCGAGCTAAAGTCCAGAGCATGGGGTGCTCCAGGGATATTTTGTTAGCTAACAAAAATTGATGGCTCTGGACCCAGTGGACAAGGGATTCATTGGAAGAAGTTGAATCGCTCGTGGAAAGGTTGCAGCGAAAGACACCAGCATTGGAGAGTGGAGTTCCAGAAGCTTCATATGAAAATTTTATGGTAGGCCAGTTACAGGCAGAGATTATTGAAATGCATGCAAGATTAGAAGATGAGCACAAACGCAGATGCGAACTTGAGGTGCAAATGGCTAATTACGTGAAATATCAAGAGATCGAACGCAAAATTAATCGTGAGTGTGTGTTAAGCACGGATGATAGCAAGGCAACGAGGAAGAAAACGGTGAGGCATCATGACGCTATCTTGCAGTTACAACTGGAGCTGGACACCATAGATGGTGAATCCGATGCAATTAAAAGTTTCAGATGGGAGGAAGGGACGCACGATGACGAGGCTGAGGTAAAAAACTCAGTGACTATTATGCAGCTTCAGCTGAAAGTGGAAACACTAGAAGCGGCACTTTTAGAGGAGCGTCAATGCCTCGCAGAGGTTCGAGCAACCAATGAACAGCTTCGGCAGCAATTGGAGAATCCTCAGACTGAGCTACATGGTGAGAAGGCGAGGATAGAATCTTTTAAGGGAGGACATCGAAGTCTAGACGTTGAGTCCAAGTCCACCTCAGAAGATGGTAAGTTATTCAAGCTCGATCAAGAGTGGGAAGGTGTTGCTTTAGACAGGTTCGGCAACTTAGAATCATGCAACTTCTCTTATCTTTTGGCTTCTCCTAAATTAAAGAAACTTTTATTTTCTGTAATATGCATATGCACTTGTAAAAGAAGGAGCAAGATGTAATTTTAGAACATGAGCCTGAAGTGATTTTCCTCGATGCTCTGATGCTTGTGAACTCAGCTGAGAAAACTTCCGGGGCGTGAGTGATCTGATGTTTTGAGAAGTGGGACTCTTTTGTAGGGAAAGCTCGGATGCACACGTCGTGGAGTCAGTTTTGCTTATTTACAAAAATTTAATGCTTTTCAAGAGAAAAACTTGGAGGCTCTGCTGGGAGTACCACTGAAGCCCATAGTCGTCTCTTATCATGCAGTAGTTGTTTTCAGAAATATAATTCTTTGCCGTCGGGAGAGTAAGGAGAGCAAGTCGCATGGAACGAGAAAAAGGAACAACTTCGAACCAATGAGTTGTTTAAAAGTTTTAGTTTAGACCAGCATTCTTTTGCAGGAAAGCGTGCTCATGGAGCTCGGTAAATTCTAGTCACGGTTACATCAGATGGTCAAAGAAAAAGAAGAGATGGCCAAGGTGGAGGCTGCTCTTGTTGAGATTTACGAGAAGGAGAAGTTCTAAGGCGGGCTATCCAGAAGCGAGCAGAAAAGGAATGCTGCTAGAATAGCAGATCGTACTCTATAAGAGGTCTCTGAAGTCCGATCACTTACGTTGCCTGCGGGTATTACCAATTGTGCTACGCTTGGTGGCAGTAACCCGCAAAATTATGTTGTTAGAAATAAGGCTGAAAATGTGATCTTTCGTACCAAGATTCAGGATTTGGACAGTTCTTAGCCCGTGTACCCAGTTGTCACTTATGACAATTGATAAGAATCAGTTGAAAGTCAAGTTACTCAGCCTGGAAATGCAGACTTGCAGCAGCAGTTGCAGATTCGACTGTCTTGAAATGCACTTTTTATCGATTTAAAAAGCACCCCAGGAATGGCAGTATAGGGGACTGAAAAGCTGCAGAACTTGGCTAAGGAATTGAAGAGCAACAGAGGTCAGCTCAAGGAAGAGGTTAAGATGAAATGGTGTGCTATTAAAGATTTAGAGGAACAGTCTTTGTTATATCCGAGCACAGAAAATTTGAACTTGATTGAGCAATGTTGGAGGCGAGACGACCTAGAAGAGGATCTGCATCTTCCTCTGGAGCAGCTGGAGATGACCTAAGCTGATGCTGATGAACGGTATGTATCTGCAACTGAACCTCGCAAGCTTTTTCTACGCTTGATTCTTTACGTTCTTCGACTTAATTTGTAGAGGAATGGATCAGCACTTGTAATAATTTATTTCTCAGTAGACAGATTTGAGCAAGCGATTAGTTGATGAGAATATGATCCAAGTAGCGACTCTTGAGGATTCCGTGGAGTAGCTGAAAATTACAGTTTATGATTTATCGTCCCAGGTGCATGAAAAGTCTCGGCTCTTCATGACCTTGTGGTTTGATAACCATGTGATACATACTGTTCACACCTTTCCTCAGCAACAGCATGGAAGTTAGTTGAATTCCAACTATGAGTGTATGTTTGTTATGGTTCTTCTCGAGTAAAATCTTTCTTCCGACTCTACTACTCTTCTGCAGGTCAATGTGTTACATGACAAGGTCGCATGCGATTATAGGATGATTTATGACTGTCTTTGTCTTTTTTACTGGTGAAAGTCAAAGTCAATTATGATCAACAGAGATAGAATGATTGAAGAATAGAGCTGAAGGGAACAACACAATTGGACTGGAAACCAACCAAACTTCTTACATCCAACCAAATGCCATGTCAAAACTTTTGAGACCACCAAAAATCTCTCAACATTAACTCCAGTCTTGTCATATCCAAAATATCTAATTGTTGGAATAGTTAGAATAGTGATAAGTTTGAAGAATAGGTAGTTGTATTTCATCTTTTGGAATTTATAATTTTTTTTTCAAAATTTAACAGATTATTTTTAAATACAAACTTAGAGTTTTTATGAGACTTAAAAAATATATTTTTAATATCATGAACAATATGATCAAAGAATATATTTGATTGAATTTATTTAAAAAAAGTTGAATCAATAGTTAATGTTGATTTCATTGTTCAAAGATGAAAATGCTTTGGCTTCAAAAAAAACATTCTTCCTTGATAAAAAGTTACATCTTTTTCTTTAGGTACAAGTTAAGAACATCTTTAAAAGGAGTGTAATAAATCTTGTTGTTTTCCAGGTCAATAAGTGATCTTGAAATCAAATTTTTATAAAAACATTCTCCAATGTGCTTTGCGACAATTCAAAACATGCATTAATATAAAGTACTCAAGGTTCTTCTGATCCATATATATGGTAATTAGACTAAATGCACATTTTAGATAATTATGTCATTCTTGAAATGAATCCACGATTATAAAAAGCTCTTTGTTGTAGATCTCATAATTAATCTTGACTGCTAAAAGTTTCTTAGAATAGAAAGCTATAAAGTAAAGCTTATCATTTATTCTTATTTGTGACAATGCCACATCTATAGTAAAGTTTGATGCATTTGTTTACGTAAAGAATGCTTTAGAAAAGTCGATAGTTTATACAAATTTGCAATGATCCATCTTTTTTCTTCACAAATAAGACAAGAATTCCTATTATAGATTTAAAATATCAAAAGAAGTTTTTAGGCAAGTTCTTGTCAATGTATTCTTTAAATGCAGTAATTTATATTATAATAAATTATAGATTGGTCTAAATGGTGGTTAAGCTCTATCTTAAAGATCAATGGAACAATCATTTAAATAATATTCTAAAAGAATATGTATATTTTACTTCTCAAAAACATCTTAATAATCTTTGTATTGACTTAGAATGCCACTTGAAGTCTTTTTTCTATTGAAAATAGATGTAATATATACAACAAAAGTTGATCCTTTTTTTCTTATATGCATGAAAGCTCTTATACTTACCAACAAGAGTTTGATTGTATTAGACTTATGGATTTTTATTTGAATAGCAAAATTTTGAACTAAACTATAGAAAAAATTAAGGTTACAAGAAGTCTAATTCATTTGAAGGTTATACTTCTTTAGCCATAATAATCCAAAAATAATAGGATTGGATAGAGATTTAATAATTTTGAATATTATTAAACTATTATGATCTTTAGTTACTACATCTAAAGAAACTGTTTCATAGATAACATCTCCAGAGGACAACAAACAATCATCTATGATTTCTATATGCACAAGTTTATTATTTTTGACTAAAAATATTTTTTATTTTTTAATAAAGACTTTATCTATAAAAAAAAAAAAAATGAAGCTTTTAAATTTGGTAAGGCAAAGACTTTGTGATTTTTTAGTTCAAAACAAACTCCTAATATAAAACAAGGTGAAGAATCTAAAGAGAGGATAAGACCTTTACTAAATATTATATAAGATTTCAGCTATAGGGTCCCTATTATAGCTGAAAAAATTCATATTTTAACACATCATCCTCTTTGGCAATCGTACTCCTTATTTTATCATTATATTATTTCTTTGGATAATATTGAGTATTGTACTTAGGTTGTAATATGATATAAAAAAGATAATTATATAGATAGTTAGAACCATGGAAGTTTCTAGAATTAAGGTTAGGGTAGTGGACTAGGTAGGATCCACCATAGAACATTCCAAAAGAATTTAGGGCAGTTATTTAGATAGGGCTCACCATAAAATCTTCTAAAAAAGGCTTAGAGTGGTTATCTAGATTGAACCTACTATAGAATCTTTTAGAAAAGAAGTTTAAGGTGGTTATCTAGGTAGGATCTACCACCTAAGAACATTCTAGAAAGTCTAGGGTGGTAGAATAAGATATAAATAGGATTGGCCAGGGCCTTTTCAGGCATCTGATCAAGTATGGCTTCAGACCTTTTCTCTTAGTAAAATTTGGTTTTGTATCTTTTTGTTTAATTCTGTTCTATTTTGTTTCTATCTGCTTAGTTGTCTTTTATATCTTATTTTGTGTATTTCCATTTAGTTCTATTTTGGTTTATTTTGTCCTATTTTATGAAGAGACTTTATGTTGTTGTGGAATAGAAATATCTTGGTCTCTTGAGATAGTCTAGTTTTGTTTCATTGGTATCAAAACTAGTATTAGACTATTTATTTTTGGTAGCATGTCAATAGTCATCATATAGTCCAAGGTCAGTTGTTGTGGTTACATTGGATATTGTATTGAGGCTACTATAAGTTACTCTTAAAAAAGTCAATCGGGAGGTGAAAGGATATTATAATAGTGGAGTCTAGTAGAGAAATTACAGTATGGGAGATATGGCAGAGGAATCTTAATTGGAGGCTCAATACAACACCTCTTAGAGCACATAACTACTTTACAAGGGCAAATAGAAGCCTCAACAACAAAAGAGTCGACACCTGTTGGGTTGAAATTGAGTAAGCCTAGTACATACTCTGAAACTTCAAAAGAAGAAGATGTATGTCAATGGCTCTTTAATATGCGACAATACTTCCAACTATTTGGGACAAATACTAGTAAAGAAATTATATATGCAACCACCTATTTGAAGGATGTGGCAACCATTTGGTGGCAACATCAAGTTCAAAGCTACGGAGCTCAAGGTGGATTTTGTGATTGGGAGGAGTTTGAGACCGAGTTTAGGAATCAATTCCAATCCATCAATGCAAAAAAGATAGCACACAATCAGTTGATAAATCTTACACAAGCTAGGTTGGTGTAAGATTATGTCTTTCAATTCAAGTCCCTATGTCTTCAAATTGACAATGTTTCAAAACTGGAGAAGATGGATTGATTCCTACGAGGTTTGAAACCTAAAGTCCAATGAGAGGTGGAGCTAAGGGATCTACAAACATTTGAAGAGGCGATTTGGCTTGCAGAGAGGGTCAATGCTATAGATTTCAGAAATTGTGGAGCATGACCTATAGCACAAAGTCTTATGCCACTATCTAATATTATAGCACAACAACCAATACCAATGGATATTAATACATTACAAGGATCATTGACACCACAAAGATAATATATATTGGTACAAAAATAATTATGTTTTTATTGTCAAGAATTAAGCCATCAGATCATAGGTTGTCCAAAATATCAAATTATAAGTATTAACAGGATAAGGCGAGTTCATAGTTTCGAAATTAATTGAATCAATAATGAATAAGAATAAGAAAATGGGGCTCTCCAATAAAACCACTGAGGGCCAGTATTAGAGGTAACTACTATCTCTCAAAGTCAAATGGCATAGCCTCAAACAAGTGTAAAAAGAATCAACTAGTACATCTAATGGGACTAGTAAAAGGACAACCATGTCAAGTACTTATAAATTGTAGCTCTACAAAAAATTGCATCTCAATTGAAACTACCAATTAGCTTAGAAATAAAACCAAGGAAATCAAAGGAGGAAGTATATATCTTATAGATGACCGAGAAAACATGTTGAGTGAGATGTGTGAAGAAAAAATCTTGACATTAACAGACACCTACGTCTTAAGAGAGAGATTCAAGGCGACAAAGTTAAGATATGTTGTTATCTTTAATATGCCATGGCTAGAGATGGAAAATAAGAAAGTTGATTGAGTAGCAATGACAATCTCTTTTGAAGATGGAGGATGCAAGGTAACTCTTTGCACCTCCACATCAAGTGAAGAGAAAAAAAATAACTTCTAATCAAATACTTACTTGTAGGAATAATCTTTAAGAAGAAGCAATTACAACAAGAGCAACCAATATATATGATGGTTCCAAATCTCATGTCAATGGTGGGAAAGACGATCGAAGAAATAAAACGGGCAGAGCAATTCATATGGAAATATCAGGAGGTCTTTTCAACCAACCTACCTAGTGGCATATTTCTTGATCAAGGTGCCTCCTTTCAAATAGAACTATTGTCTGAAGCCAAACCAATAAGTCGACCAATTTATCGCCTAGTATCAAAAGAACTTGAAGAGCTGCAAAAGACATTGGATGAACTCTTGGAAAAAGGCCTCATTTGAGAAAGCATATCACTATGGGAAGCACCTATACTTTTTGCACTTAAGAAAGATGGTGGACTTTGTTTTTGCATTGACTATCAAGGTTTCAATAAGCAAATTGTTAAAAATATATATCCACTTCTATGCATAAATGATCTTCTTGACCAACTTCAAGGTATAACCATCTATAGTAGATTGGATCTTTAGAGTGGCTATTAACAAACACCTATTGTAAAAGAGGATGTAAAAAAGTTGGTATTTTGTATGTGCTATGGATATTTTGAATGGCTATTTTTACCCTTTGGCATCACCAATATTCCAACTTCTTTTATGAATGAGATAAATAGATTATTTTTAGATCTTTTAGATATGTATGTAGTCATCTTCATTGATGATATCTTCATATATAGTAAAATCCCTAAAAAGCATGAGCAAGACCTATGAGAGGTGCTATACGAGTTGCAAGATAATCAAAGTATGAACTTTGGAAGTCTGAAGTTACTTTTTTGGGGCATGTGGTGTCCCCCGAAGGCTTACATATGGAACAAGATAAGGTGAAAGCAGTGGGAAGATTAGCCAACCTCTAAAGATGCTTTTGAAGTTTGCTCAATTTAGGCCTT